ACAATGGTTGAATAACACAATGGAAGAATAGCCAGCTTAAGAAGGTTTGCTCGCTAGAAGTAGAATGAAAATAAATCGCAGGCGAAATGAAGCCTGAAGGCTCGAGAAGAAAAAAGTCGGAAAGTACTGTTATGACTATGAGAGCAAAAATTATCATCAATGCGAGAGCAAACAAAGGACTTCACGTTTTTTAAATTCGATCAAGATTCGGTGGAGATGGATGATTGTAAAAAATGTCGTGGGAAGTATACCAAATTTTGCGAAAAAGTGAGGGAAACGACTGCTATAATCTGTATCGGCATTGCACGACATGCGTACAGTAACAAAGCGGTATAGAAGTAAAACACAGTCAGCACTCAGTGAGTCAGAGAACTAATAGTCTGTATGAGTGTATAACTGAGTTTCAACTGTCTACGTGGTACCCAGGTATCTGATGTTGCGCTTGAACATGGAATGTGTACCGAAGATTTAACTTGGAGTTAGGTAAATATATAATCGATGTTAACGGTTGACTGATAGAGGATAATTACTGGAAAAGGAACATTCAGAGAGAAACATTTCTTCAACTGTTCGACTCCGAGAGTACAAACACACAGTAAAAGGAAACCATCAATTGAAGTTCTGACGCAATGAAAGTGAAACGACCGTTATACATATAGGGCTTACTATAGTGTTTGAATCAGCTTCAGTATTACTATTAACAGGTGTGCCTTTGAGAAAAGTAAAAATTACCTAAACTAAAACTTATATTGATTTTCCGCTGAGTGCTCTTAGAGTCAAGAGAACAACCGAAATGTAGGTGTGGAAATGAAACTATATACTTTCACATCAGCAGCAGGAGTGAGGCTAGTAAAACATGAACTATCCAATACGCAGAAAACATGTGCACGATCAACCATCATGATCGAGCCTTCTCTCATGTCCGCAATGACATTGCGTCAAGAGGAAGGCCACCTAAATTTCAACTAATATATATTAATGTATATTAATTATATCATTAGCGAGATTTGAGGCACTAAACTGATAAACAGTAAACATATATCAGCTAAGCCTAATGTGCTGCCACTGAAACTGCTACTATTTCTACTGCTTTCAACACTTTAAATTTGTTGAGGCAAAAATGTTAAAAGGGGGATGATAGTTTATATTATATCTATGCATATGGAACTTAAACGCGTTGAAAATTGATATATCAATGACGGTCTAAAGGCAAAGCCCACAACTCACTACTACCACATACTGCGCTTTTATTTGTTAAACAGTCAATAAAATATGGCACGTAATTTCGTTTTTGGGGTCTATTCGAGTTAATTTATTTGGACAAATTAAGCAAAATTTATCCGACATTAACAACCATCACTTAAAATTAAACAACCCACCTACTACATGGCTATACTTATAGCTATAAGGTCACCTAATAATCTCAATACTTTACCAACAAATTGAAAATATATTGCTGGCGCCTGGCAGTTATCTACCCAACTCGTCTGTGCTTGGCACAAATTGCTTGTTTAAATTCTTTTGCAAGCAAAATCCTTTGTATATAATCATCAATCATGTGAATAATATCCGCTACAGGTTGTACAGTAAACCGAACATTTCCTTTTTATACGGACAAAATTGTAAGCCTCCAAAATTATCGACGACCCTAATCATAATGCTCAAATAACTATAAGGGCCATTCACGAGTTTTAATGACAGTTTTTAAACGATTGTAACTCAACCAGTCAACAGATTTATCAAAGAGCGAATAACCACGATTTAATTGAATTAGAATGTTTGTTGGTTGCATTTAAGCTAAATTAAACATAAATTGTAACGAACTACGAAATACTGTGCTGATTAAACAACATTACTACATTAGCGCCGCTACAATTAACGACAAACCCCATTACACATTACATACATTGCAATATCTGAGATCAGTTCGCAATAAAATATTGCAATAGAGTCGAACTGAAAATAAACTTATTCAATATTCTATTATCACAATTAGCTTATTACACGTAGTTGGATTATTAATTAAGGTGACAATCGTAAACAATTTTTGGTAATTGTTATTTTTATCAGGTGAACAAATATGCAGAAGTCCATGGTTGATAGTCGTCACAGGAATGCAGTTGTACTACTTGTAGACATCAGTGAGGCCCATGTATGTATACAGTGCTTCTTGAGGTGAAAAAGTGGGCCGCCCAAAAGAATTAGGATTTAGTCAGATATCAGTTTTACTCTGAAAGTTGTATGGATCTCCATCTCAGAATTAAAACTCGAAGTATATTGAAAGTTTCAAACAATCCTTCTAATATCAAAACTTTGAAACAATTGTTCTAAACTGCACTTTCTTAGGACTTAGAATTGTACTGTAAACAGATACTGTTAGACTGGAAGAGGTCTGTGGTGAATTGCTATCAAGTACTACAGCAATACTATAAAGGTGTTACTTTGCGAAGTTACAAATCCTATAAAATGTTTAAAAGTAACAAGAAAGGGAGGACATCCGAACCACACCGCAACACGGGCTTGGCCACTACTACTACAACATCATGAAAGGTGTGTGCCGACTGCAGTCACGCAGTGTTCATTAACATATTTCACACCTCAAAGCCAAGCCACATGTAGTCTGACTTTTGTAATGCAGAATATTAGAGCTGTTGTGCTGATTGTTGTACCACAAGAAGGCAAAATGTAGACTCTCTTGACGCAACTAATATATAGTGCGCAAAGTAGGACGATCACGAACAAGCATCGCAGGTGCAGTATAGTTATCACAAACAGAACTTTAGGTGTCAACTTAATTTTTCCTAGCTTTAATCTAGCCGGCAACAAGAGCTCGCGCATTTAGTTAAACCTATGATTCTAAATTCTGAAGATCACATGTATCAAGCAAACCTCACTATATTCTCTGCTCAATACGGACAGTAGACTCCTAGCAAGCTGAGCATGACTTTGTGAAACCAATAACCAGCCATGGCAATAATGCAGGATCTAATTTACCTGCATATTCCGGGAGGTAGAGTAACATTGTTTGGACACGTAACAGCTACTCCTGTAATTCATATTGGCCGATGAGCTGATCTGATCGGTGTGAACTGCGAATCACTGTCACGTGTTATAACCAAGTTACACTAACATCCTTGTTTAATGATTTGCTAAAAACTAACAAATTTACTTTTTACTGTCTGAGAAACAATGCACTCAACTGGGTATAAAATATAGTTATAGTTTTTCATTACGAATCTGCCAGGGCACTATAAGACAGGTGACAATATAAATAACACCACCCTAGCTTCTCTAGCCTCTTATTAGTTATATATATAACTAAGAAATAGCCAAGAACATAAACCAATAAACAAGCTGGCTCGACATAGCTGACGTTGATCACATCTCTGATAAATATTCATCTCGTTGATCAGATACTAGTAGCCTGTAACTCCTAATTCTCATCAAGTTTCGACCGCGTGATGAGGTCACGTGTATATGTACCACGTGCACAAGCACGCTCTTAGGAGGTGCTATATAGTGTGGCCCACGTGGTACTTATCATTTGGAATATTGATAGATTTGAGCACGTGATGGGCATGTTGCCAGAACCTGTTCAGTGCTCACTAGACCTGCAAATGAAGCTACTACTAACAACACTTGGTACGTGTTGGTGTTTACCTAGAATTACATTGCGATATCACGATATTATATACTTCAACTTGGACAACAACAAATAAACATCAAAGGCTAGAGACAACAAGATTTATTGACTTAGTATTACTACAGCGTACAACGAATAGTGAACAAACCAGAAAACAATGCATATTCGTGATTTAATGCAAGTTTAACGCCGTCTAGTAGTAGTATAACTCCATAGTAATATAATACTCTAGTATATAGGTTTTACATAATACTAATAGACAACAAAATTACTTTAGAATACGTTGATATTCCGCCAGACTAGTGACGTGGTAGCTTTTTATGAAAAATCTTACTGAGCGGAACATAAATTATTCTTATTGAACGACGGTGAATTTAGCGTTCTTTGCCCTATAATTATATATGCACAATTTAATCGGTGAATTTTAGCGTTCTCTGCCCTATAATTATATATGCACAATTTAAGATATCACTTATGCCTTAGCATATTTCCATGTTTATAATATAGAGTTTGATATCAATTGAATATATTGTTATTAGTTTGGAGGCGCAGATTAAAACATTTGAACGATCCTGACACACGACAGAACAAGAAGTTATCATTCAGTTCAGGGATTCTTACAGGCTCGGTCATAATCAAATTTATTACGGTAACGTCTATTTCAATAGATCTTCAAAATTCACACTTTCCGTTAACCGTATTATCATAACAAGCCACATCTTGTGAGCAGCACTACTCTCAACGTGTCCTTACAATCCACAAATATAATCCGACCCTACCAAAGCAAGCACGAGCTAAAGTTGCGAAAAAGAGTACGGGCATTTTCTGACACTTCTCAGTTTGAAGTTAAAAGCAAGAACAGAAGCAGTAATGGGTTCGCGTTGGACCTGTTGACAAGGTTATATTATATCATATGATGACGGTAAGGACACATCACACAGGAACTCTTACGCTTCAACAAGGTATGCAGTTCAAGGAACTGGAAACGACAGCACAACTACCAACGAGAACCCCTTTTCGGAGAGGTGTTGTCAAGGTACACTTAAAGCTTACATGTAGCTCCTAATTGAGTTACCATTTATTGAATTATTGGTATAAGGACAAATTGGTATACTGGTATGGTAGCCCTAGCCCATTATTTATACTGCACGCAATTGGATCATTTATAACATTACTGATAAGATTTTGTCCAATAGTTATGGTTTGACATTTTTGTTACATTATGAATTACCTAAACAATCCATTGATCGAATTACCAAAGATAAAACGCGACGTAAAATCACGCGAAGGTACGTGCCTTATTTGCAAAAATGTCACAAGAATGTGTAATTTCTGTACGCTAAATTAAACTCACGTATAGCAAATAAGTTAACATATGACTTATGGTCAAATTGAAACTCAGCAATTTGTATTACAAAGCCAGGGAGTCGTATAATTAGAATTAGTAAATACAATTTCATGTCTGATTTTCTCTAAACGAGGATCACTAAATTACGTGAAATACAACTTAACCAACCGGCAAAAGTAAATACAAAACGTGGGGAACTTCCAAAACGAGTAAGTCTACACTTAAAGTAAACATAGCTGGCCGGAACAACAATCCACATTTTCTCATATCCTAAACTAATGACAACGTGACATTAGGACGCGGAGTCAGTAGACATTACTCTCGTCACGTGACGTTATGCGACGTCACGTGACGGTGATTGTCATTGATGTAACTAGTAGTTATCCCAGGCATCAGCTTCGGCTTTTTCTTTTCGTACTTGTTCGATCCAGGGCTTGACATATCGCACTTCACCGACTACCTCCTCCCACCTTTCAGCTTCTGGACACTGAGAGAGGGAAGGTGTTATGTCACGTGTTATATCACGTGTTATGTCACGTGTTATGTCACGTGTTATGTCACGTGTCCAATATACTGTCATGTGTTATTGGCAGAAACAAGGAACCTAGACACCTGTTAATAATGTGATATCTCACAGCTTACATAGTCAAATATATCATATATACCCAGATATTAAGATATGTGCTCTGGGCTGCACTACTTGCTCTCAATTATGTTACAGCTGACTACGATATATTTGCTAACTCAGCTGATACAGAATTTAATTACTGCTAAGAAGATAACTATAAATTAGCCTAATTTCTTCCCGTCTAATAGCAACACAACAAAAACATAAAGTTAGTGTTAGAGGAAAGCACGTACCACTGTTCGTTCAATGGCCAACTGGGAAGCTCGGAGTCCACGGAAATTACGGAGCTGCAGGTCGATGTCGTCAATCCTACTCAGTGCTGTCTGCAAAAATGTATTATGTGAATGTTCTGAAATTTATGGTGTTTCAACTCATCCTGAACATAATACTAAGGGGTCGTTACGTAATCAATATTCTAGCATTTTTCCCCACCTCCCCACTCCCCAGTCCCCCCCCCCCCTCCGTAATCAACCGTAATCAAGACCCAACCCCCCCTCCTGACAGCAATATTACGTAATCATGGCCTGACCCCACCCCCCCCCCCCCCCCTGACGTTTTTCCTTAGAAAACACTTTTCTCTACGTTTCATGCTACCCTGATCATGCAATCATGATGAGCCGAAATCATTGCTATGATATCCGGCCAAGCACCTTCTAAAATACTTACTATTATAGCCGGATATTCGATCAATTTCTAAATTTTATCACTATCAGAGTGAAATTGAGTAGAATTTGAATCAAACTATCGGGGGGGGGGGGGGGGGGGGGGGCGTGCAGGTACTTTTTTGATGGAACATAACCCTAAAAGTACCCGAGGGGTGGGTGGGTGTTTTATGAAATTTTCGAAAAGTATCATGGTACTTTTTTTGTCCCAAAAAAAAGAAGGGGTACCCCAAAACATGATTATAAAAGTACATGGTACTTTTTCATTACCAAAATGTTAGAATCGGGGTTTTCTGAAATTATACCTAGCTTGTTGTAGATCTAATTGGGTTTTTCTGAAATTATACCTAGCTCGGTGTAGATCTAATTGGGTTTTTCTGAAATTATACCTAGCTTGTTGTAGATCTAATTGGGTTTTTCTGAAATTATACCTAGCTTGTTGTAGATCTAATCGGGTTTTTCTGAAATTATACCTAGCTCGGTGTAGATCTAATTGGGTTTTTCTGAAATTATACCTAGCTTGTTGTAGATCTAATTGGGTTTTTCTGAAATTATACCTAGCTTGTTGTAGATCTAATTGGGTTTTTCTGAAATTATATATATTATATTATATCTAGCTTTACTCATACCCCGGACCCCCAGAATAGTCGGAAATTCAGAGTAAATGGGGGTGGTGTCCTTATTGCCATAAAACATTGTCTTGACATAGAATCTAAAATCATTCCTGTCAAATGTAGAGCCGAGATTTTGAGTATTGAGCTTTCTGACAAGTTAGGAAGAAAATCCATATTAAGCTCGTTCTACAGAGTTGGCACACTTGGCAATGATAACCATGATAGAGTCAAGCAATACCTACATAACATCCGTAGGCGTAGAAGAGTACAGAGCATTACCTTGGCTGGTGATTTGAATATGCCCCAGGTCAGATGGGATGAGGGCTCCTCCTCTGTTCCTATTGAACAAGCATTCATTGATACGTTTAATGATTTATCTTTACAGCAGCTGGTAACAGACCCTACACATTACAGGGGAAATGTTCTAGATGTAGTTTTGACGGATAAGCCAGAAATTATATCAGAATTAATTGTTGACAGTAAACATGGTATTTGTGGGTCGGATCACTATGCGATAAGATTTGACATAAGACTTAACGCTAATTGGACCAATTTAAATAATGCACTGAATTCTGAAAACTGGGAACATCTACTTAGTGGTAAACCAGTCGAAGAGGCCTGGTCAGTTTTCAATACTATTTTCACTTCTCATTGTAATTCACATATTCCTAAGATATCTGTCTCCGATGAATTTCAACCCCCATGGTTTGACTCAGATGTCTTTGATTTATGTAGAAAAAAGGAGCGACTACATGACGAATGGAAACAGTCTTCTAATCCAAAAAAATATTTAAAATTTTCCAAAGCTAGGAGGGATTTTAAAAATCTCGTTGATGCAAAATTGGACGCAAACTTTGAAGATGATGATAACAGAAATCTCATTAACAAAAAGTTCTGGTCTTTTGTGAAATCTAAATCAAACTCTAATCGCATTCCTGAAACAGTCAGCTACAATGGTTGCCTACGGTCCGATCCGCAAGGACAGTGTGAGTTATTCAATAAATATTTTAACGAACAGTTTACAGAGGGTAGTGATTATGATATAGATATCGACTTTTCCAGTGACCGTGATTTTCAGGTCAATTTCGACACTTGTAAAATCAAAGGTTTACTTGAAAATATTGATCCAAGTAAAGCGCAAGGGGCCGACAATATCCATGGAAGAATTTTAAAGTACTGTTCAGTGAGCCTGTCTAAGCCTCTTGCTATCCTTTTTGAAGCTTCTTATAAAACTGGATGTATTCCAGCAGATTGGAAAATGGCAAACGTTGTTCCAGTTCATAAAAAAGGCTCTAAAATTGAAGTTAACAACTATAGGCCAATTTCTCTGACAAGCATTATTATGAAAGTTTACGAAAAAGTAATCCGGGATGAATTGCTCAATCGATGTGAACATCTTATTGATCAACGTCAACATGGTTTTATGAGTAGGAAATCATGTACAACTCAGCTAGTAAATTTCTGTGACAGCTTAGCCCTATCTCTCAATGACAATGTTCGCACTGACATAATATACTTTGATTTCCAAAAAGCTTTTGATTCTGTCAACCACGACATAATTCTGTTGAAGCTCAAAGAACAATATAACATTGATGCATCTCTACTGAGATTCTTCAAGTGCTACCTTGAAAACAGATACCAAAGGGTTGTCATTGGAAATAAAATGTCTGCTCCCTGTCAGGTTAGATCAGGTGTCCCCCAGGGCTCAATTTTAGGGCCTACTTTATTTATACTTTTTCTTAATGACATTACAGAGGATTTGTCACCGGAAACAAATATAACCATGTATGCTGATGATACAAAAATATGGCGTAGAATCACGTCCCAGGATGACCATTGGCTGCTCCAGCGGGATATTAACAGTCTTCAAAATTGGGCTCATCATAATAAGATGGTGTTTCACCCTTCAAAAAGTCACGTTCTTTCTATTACCCGAGCATATTCTATGAATCGTAGTGTTAATTTTGTGTACTCAATGAATGAAACGGCTATCGAATACACAGACATTGAAAAAGATCTTGGAGTACATATCAATAGTAAGTTAGATTGGTCACATCACTGTGATATGATATACTCTAAGGCTAGTCAGAGGTTAGGCCTTCTAAAAAGAACATGTTACTTCACCAAGAACACTAAAAAACGTCGGGCCTTCTATCTATCTCAGGTTAGAAGTCATTTCGAACACTGCACAATTGTCTGGCGGCCTCATTCAGAAACCTCGGTGGAGAAACTTGAATCGATACAAAAAAGAGGTATCAAGTGGATCCTTAATGATATTTACTTGAGCCTTAGGGACAAAAAAAGGTATTTCATAGCGTGTAAGGAACTAAATATCCTTCCACTCTCGGTAAGGTTTGATTACAAGGATATATTATATTTTCATAATATTTTTTATGACATGTCAGTTGTGACATTTCCACCTTACTTACGACGTTTCATGGGAAGTAGGTTAAGGCGATCACATCTAGACGATCTCAGTATGATTAGTGACATTTCTCCTCAAGTTCCACAAAACCTTACGTCAAGCCAGACCAGATGTTCAGGCATATCTAAGTCTTACTTTTACAGAGCACACATTCTTTGGAATAAACTCCATTATGAATTAAGGGAAATCTCAAGGCCATCCGTGTTTAAAACCCATTTAATTAAGTACCTCTGGACAGTTCTAAACGACCATATAACATCCTCTGACAGTTAAACAATTTACCTTAATGTAACTATATTGTCTAAATATAAATTGATATGAAGCATAATTAATAAAATATGTTAAATAAAGTGTGTTTATAATTATGATTTATGGTACATTGTTATTTATTATATTTATATTTTAGGCTGTAACCTTATTAGTTCAATGGAATAAACCTAGTATGCCTTGGTTGCAGCATCGCTTCACTTATAGGTGCATTTAGGGCCCGATGTAATTGCTATGATCAGTTTACTGGTCAACTGGTGTTTCGGTGTCCCTTATTTTGTTTACACTCGGTCACTTGTCAAGGCATGTAAGGTCATTCGGCGATATTTTCTTTGAAATAAAATGATGTATTTGTGTAACAATTTGAAAGTTTATTGATAAAAAAAATACCTAGCAGCTAGCTCGGTGTAGATCTAATTGGGTTTTTCTGAAATTATACCTAGCTTGTTGTAGATCTAATTGGGTTTTTCTGAAATTATACCTAGCAGCTAGCTCGGTGTAGATCTAATTGGGTTTTTCTGAAATTATACATAGCTTGTTGTAGATCTAATTGGGTTTTTCTGAAATTATACCTAGGTCGGTGTAGATCTAATTGGGTTTTTTCTGAAATTATACCTTCCCCCTTTAGATATGATTGCAATTTCTGTGGCGGAAAACCTTAAAAAACCTTAAATTTGCAAAGTCAGCATATGTTCCATCAAAAAAGTACCTGCACCCCCCCCCCCCCCCCCCCCCCCGAACTAATGTCAAATTATTATTATTCTAGAGGGTAAAAAAGGAAATTTTGATAACGTAATCAACGACCAACCCCCCCCCCCCCCCCCCCCCCCCCCCCCCCCCCCCCCCCCCCCCCCCCCCCCCGTAATCAACCGTAAGCATTTGGAAACCCCCCTCCCCCCTCGGCTGATTACGTAATATGTGAACGACCCCTAGGGAGTGAAAGCAGACAAATAATCCCATCCGAAGAAGAAAAACATTCCCAAATTCTCTTAGATAATCCCAAATGTCCCAGGTAATATTTTTCAATTAAATGCCCCATTGTAATAAGCCCAATGTTTCTTACCCCGACATTCTTGTCTGTGGCTTGGTTGTAGTACCAGTCGTCAAATCTCAGACCTAACTCACATTGGACGCTCCTCGGATAATAGAACCTGACGAAGGAGATAAATTATTGTAAAGCTGATCAGAGATCTTTTGAAGAAGTTAAATATTTTAAAGATCAAAAGATAACTAAGTTTTATTTTTCATGGTCTACTAGTACAAAAGCGGTCTGTATTTTCAACAAAAAAAAAAACATCCAGAATCGTATCTCGGATATCTTACTTTATGATAGGAAACATGACTTTGTCAACTGCTCTCGTCAAAGCATTTGGAGGGATTGGATCCATCCTGCCAGTTACGGGTACTTGGCTCTTTGGTAGCATATTCACAGTCAGGTCATGTTGAATCTGAGCGAAAATTACCATAAAATATTAATGAGGTGTATACATCACATCAGTCATGCTGCTCTATGATTTCACTGCGACAACAAACAGTCCGAGCAAAAAATGTTAAAATGATGTTTAAAAGTTGTGAAGTTGTACACAGTTTACGAACCTTTGGAATTGACATACGTCCGGGAATTTCCTGGACACCAAATCTGGCGGCAGTCTTGCCAACGATCCCCACCTTAGTAAGAGACATGATGTCCTGTTCATTAGTTGGAATGTTAATTATAGCAGTGTCCTACAAGTAAGCTATTTATAGAAAATAGGAAACTGTACCTTACAGTTTGCTTTATATAATCATTTAATAAATTGGCAGACCACTTGTATATAGTAACTCGAAAAGTGAAAACATCCATATAATCAAACATATTTACATTCCGTACACAACAATACAGGATCAAAAGCGAACCGAAAAGCTCTCATCATAAAAACTTTATAAAACTATGCGTAAAACTTCCAGCAAAATGATGTTAGTATATTATATTAATCGGAAATTATCAAGAATTTTAACAAAAATGTATATTGTAAACAATGTAAACGCTCCAGCAATGAGCCAAGGTAAAAAGTTTCTGCAATCCAAGTAAAAGTACCTTTAGAAAATTTTATCAACCAGGCCAATGATGTATAAAACCCAAAGAAATAAATAATCAGTACATTTAAAGGTCAGTCTATCAAGCTAAAGATACTTGAATTACAAATCAATCAGGAAGCCCGTGATTGTGGCTTCATTTAACCAGACCAAGGGGTAAGGCAGAGTCTCTCATAGTCCTTTAGTAATGCCTGTGCCTGAAAGAAAACAATTACAATCGATACATTTTCCGCTACGATTCGTTAACATTGATTATACAACAAACTTCAATAAACAGTGCCCAAAAACATAAAAGGCCTTTTTATAGATTAGTTATGTCAATAAGTAACAGAAAGTAAACGAAAGAGAGTAATCGTAACTTACTCGGAATACTCCATGAACGGTGAATTTGAGGGAGGTGCCGTCTGCTCTCCATGGCTAGCTGCTAAAGTTGCTCCTATGCTCGGTTCAAAACCGCGACTCTCCATGCCAGACCGCGAGAAATGTCCTGGATCCGACTGTCAAATACATAAGAGTTATTTTAAATGCTCAGCTTCGAAAAAATGTTGAAAAGGAAATCAATTTATAAAACTTTTTATGCAGGATCAACTTAAAACGTGATTAACTTAATTGGGAGTTACAGTGTTTCAATGAAAATTTTTGTTTTAACACTGCACTGTTTGTCATAATCACAAATGACGAAAGCATATGGCACCCCACTGTATGACAGAGTAAGAGATCTTTGGAGTGAGTTACTGAACGTTGATTACGTAAACCAATATTAGGGACATCCCTCGAAATCATTCTAAAAACGGTGATCCCAAGAGGCTTTCTGGTTGTACAAAATTGGAGTTCACAGGATTCCATGGGATATCGTATCAAATGAGAGATAGATTGTGATGTGATCTCTTTCGGGCTTGCGCTTATCACATGTTTTCCATTTCTTGGCAACGGATACAATAAACCAATCTACCCATCGACAGATATGAAACGTACGTGAAAGGAGTGCTTAAAAAGCACATTGTGCGAGCCTTTTGAACATAATTTTGTCTTTGCGCCCTACAACTTTGTTCTTTAAAAATCGTCCAGTTTTTACAGCCACGAATTTTAGTTAGTTCTATTCATGGAATCAGGAGTTTTCTTGTACTAATCTAAGGAGTTAAACAATGAATTCAACAAGCTTTAGTCTGAGAATTCTGATCTTGAAGCTGCGGTTTATTTATCAACTACACAAGTCGTCAAAGAGTCCAAAAAGTTTGGGCACAACGATGCAGTTGGCACGAAATCAGATTGTGAACAACACAGAGAATTGAGTCGATGAATCATCAAGTTACAAATTTTAGATACATTCATAATGAACGATAAGGTATTCTGCACCCATTAGGTGCACAAACAGATGTGTAGTACAGTACATAGTACCGGTGTAAGAAGTGCAGTTAGCGCGGCCCAGCGGCGCTGGAGCGCACCTGGACTGATACCATCCATTCCCATGCTCTCCAAGACCATGTTCCTATTTACTGCCTCCTGATAAATTTAATTTAAGTTGTCATGTGGTTAAACTGAAGGTCAAACTTACTACTTGAAGTTTGGCCTGTAGCTGTTTTCTGACATGTCGTTCCATTGAATAGTACCGCTTTAGTTCCGTCACCTATTGAATGGTGTTAATAAACAATTCCGGACATATTCATTGCCCAGTTACTATAATGAAAAACAACAAAGAATATTACAAATATAAGAGCTGGACGAGACAAGTAAAACCTGACAGGAGAGAACAGCTAGTTGGTTCTTGTAGTCATCAGTTAACTTCTTCTCACCGAGTAGCTGGTCGTTCAGACTTTCAATGATCTGAAAAGTGAAGTGTTATTCTCTGCATACCACCAGACACCATGTATATTGGTTAATATAATGATAAATATTTAAGGCCCGTCTTGATTAAATCAACTGAAAAGCAATGGCTAGTAATATGGTATAACTACAGGCCTATTTGATTAACATTTTGTGGTTTCCCAAATAAAATTCCTGTACGATGAAAATAACCTGCTGATTTTCTTCCAGTGAAGTTGAGAGAGTATCACATTGTCGTTCGTGTTCAGATTTAAAAGCATCAGCTTCTGCTACCTGAACCTTCAGATAGCTATTCTCTGAGACCTAAAAATAAATTATGTCTTGGAGAAAGTTAATTATCAACGTTTCGACTCCCGAATTATATGTCAGCTTTGCTGAACACATATTTCTTGGCAACAGGGGCGTGCCCAGGGGGGGGGGGGCGATGGAGGCGGTCGCCGCCCCCTTTTTGAAATGTTGACCTATAATTTTTTGTCGAAAATTGGTTTATATAGCAAAAAAATATTTTTATAAAAAATTTTATAAAAATTTTCACAAAAAAAATTAAACGACATCAAACACAAGTATTACTTTTTAAACATATGTACTAATTTCGAACTAATTGAATAAGGCCGTTACACATGCCTTGTGCATACATTTCCCTAATATTCATCAATTCTTAATAGTTAATACTTATTACTTACATACATCTATAATCATTCGTGATTAATGATCATTACGTTACTTAGTCCATTATACAGTCAGAAATGGCAACACATTAAGAAACAGTTCAAGCTTAAAAGAGTCAAGAGATTAGTCATTAGTGATTAGAGAGAGGCAGATTAATATGGGAAAGAGGAGCTAAAGTATCTACTTTGATCTAGTATCTTCATGTACAATGTTAGATGACTGATGATATCCACTTGGCATCTAGGCTGATAAAGTTCAGAAATTTCTAATGACCAAGTGTGTATCAACTGCCTTGAACCTTCTGTAATGATATCCTTAATCCTATTGGCTTAGCATATAATTCTATAATTCAGTCAAAAAATTTTCCGTGGGCTGCGCCCCCGAGCCCCTGCCGCCGCTCGCTTCGCTCGCGGCGGTAGCCTCGGAGCTGGCGCTTCGCGCCGACTCCTCGCCTACCCCTTTCAAAAATCCTGTGCACGCCCCTGCTTGGCAAGCAGTCTTGTCTCCAAATCTCAATTATCAATGGAGTGTACATGTAATGATAGAAGCAGTCCACTTTACTCACTAGGGCAGAGTAATCTTGTTCCACTTTGGTCTTCATCCGTTCGAGAACACGGTCTTTCTCATAAAGTTGGTCTCGGAGATCCTTGACTGCTGCAGCTGCCTGGTCTATTTTCAGCCGCTGTGCGTTAGCATTCTGAGAGATGGATTATGGGGTTAATAAAGTTGTGGGGGTTGCAGTTGAACCTAATCTATCAAATCAATCACATTAACGTGCAAATCTAATAGAGACGCATTACAAACAATAGGTTTTGTTAGTGTTAGTAAAGGTCATGTAATTCTGGCAAATATAACAGAAAATAGGTCTGACCTTGTCCCCGTCGCTGAAGGATCTTATCTCGTTATTCTTCTGTTTCAGTTCACCCTTCAGTTCAGACATCTCCCTTCGGTACTCCATGTTATTTGCCTTAATTGTGTTCACCTGAAAAAATTAAACTTGCATTTCGAATTCTCAAATGACACATCGCAAATAAATATAAGCCGTGTCCATGATATTAATCACAATAATTGTAAGCAAGGGAATTCCAAAAATGCAGGTATTCAAGAAGTAAGACCAACCTTAGACTTGCTCTCGCGGGAGTTCTCGAGGAGCAGCTTCATAAGATTGTTGTTTTGTATCAGGACATGTTCTATCTCATTCTCTCTCTGCTCTACTTCCTTCAACTTCTGAACCATCTGAGAAATATGATTGCATTACGTTTCCATCACCATGTCACTGGATAGTGAATACACACTGTGTCAAACCAAAAGCACTAAAGCAATGAAACCTTTATAAAACAGATACAAATGTATAATCCATATTAGGTAGTTTACTTAAACGAAAATGTGAGATAAAGTTGCAAGTAACCTGATCGTGAGGAATGGTATCTACACGTTTCTTCTGCCGACTGCCATGTTCCGAGGCAGCACTGTTGCCTTGTTGTGCTGAGTTACCACGTGGCAAGTTGTTAGATACAGCGAGGTTGCTAATGGTAACACTATCTACACTGATTGTTGAGACGCTGTCCTCAAGCTCGCAGACATCTTCATATTCTGCCATCACATTTTGAGATGGGGTAATGGAGAGGTAGATTGATTCCAGCGAGGTAGTTTCCACCAGCTATTGGGGAGGGAAACTTTAAGGTTCACTTATTTTCTTCCTGTTTTCTTTAAATAAAATTGATTACCATAAGGCATCAGCTGCAAAACTGAAGAAAATATAAAGTCATGAATATTGGGTAGAATAAGTAATACTAAACACCTACAACTAATCTATCAATATCCAGAGCTTTAATTGAGTAATGAACTTGGCAATGAAACAAACAATGAGTCGGTATAAAACGATAAATAATGGCAACTGACTCTAATTAATGATCGCATAAATCCAATAAACAATACTTAACTTATGTACATGAACCTATCCACAAAACCAATGAAATTAAGTTATATAAGTAATAAGTTTTAATGAAAGCTCATAATTTCTGTTTCACCCAGCATAATGAAATTATTGACTCTTGCCTAGAGATTGAATTCAAATAAAGTACGTCGTAATATTTTTTAAAGCAATTTTAAACTCTTCTGTATAGCATCTTTTTACATTTCCGATTTAGCGTTCTTTGTACGGAATTGCCATATAAGTAAGGCCGAATTATAAATGTTAGACTAAACTATAACAACACAAATGATTACCAAATTAGGTTTAAATAATTTACAGCCCTTACATTTATGATCTAGAAAGTTTTTACAATACTATTTACACTTTAAAACAATCTAAATACTTAATATGTATAAAACGTGAATCTGCAAATAAATAAATTATCATGCTCTAATCTGAATAGAATTTGATTCAATATGTAAATCTGAGTAAAGTAGATGATATCTCAATTCTGAAATTTAGATAAGATCTGATCTAGAACGAGTCTATAAGTGGAAGATCTAGTTCACCATCCGATAAGTGAAACGTCTTCTTTCCGGGTTAGCGGAGTGAGTTTCGGTGCTATCCAACCGCTTGTCTTACCGAACTGTAGGGTCAGGATCTGAAATATTCACGATTATATTTTACATTTCAGGGCTAAGATAAGAATTTATTCAATTTACTCTCACGTGAGTAACCTTATATAGTAAGCTCGGAGACATGTAACTGTTTCAAAATATCATCAATAGTGACCAGTACAGACTACAGATTCAAATAACTAGCAGGAACCCGTCTAACCCTAAAGTGGTGTCAAGACTCAAGAGTCTAAAATAATTATTACCTATTTAATTCGCGTTTTTGACACCACTTTTGGGCACTAAAATTCTTATTCCTTGGGATATTTTTTATTTTTTCATGCTGATTTGAAGGCCATAAGGCATTTGAACCAGTCAAAAAAGTTGTATATCTTTTACAGTTAGACGGGTTCTTGCTAGTATATATTAAGACGCAATGAAACTATCGGACCACGATGTATGGGGACTTGCCACCCCATGGCAACATTAAAATATATCGACTCTGTTACATATATCGTCTCGCTTTATATATAAGATATTATGTACATTCTGCATTTAATTTATTTTTATTTTTTTGAGAGAGGCTGGGCCTGGATGGCCCACGAGAGGATAGCATGAGGATGCTCTGCCTACCTCTGGGGTATGGCAACCTTGGGGGAGGTTGCCGGAGAAATCAAAGTGAATAGTGGAGGATGGTGGCAAGTGTTATGAGAGGGGATGAGTCATGAAGGGACGCATAAGTGCCAGCTGGGTGTGGAAAAGAAAGATGAGCTAAGACAAATTGTGAGACAGCCTCCTCTTCGTCGCCGCACATAGGACAAGCACGGGTACTTGATTTGCGAATGGTGTGGAGGTGTTTGTTGAATGCATGTTCGGTATTCAAACGAGATGACATATTTGTGGCAAGCCGATACATTTTTACATTATGAGATAAGAGGATTGAGTTTCACATCATGACCTGTCCTGCCCCATTGAAACGGATGTTATCACACAATCTAGACTATGGTTTGTTATTCTTTATTTAAAATTAACTGATACTGATAGTTCAAAATCTTAATTTGAATCAAAGCGCAGCAGATAATGGTACCTTTAGATTCCGCAAATTGAGAGGCATATTAAATGATATAATGGGATTAAGCTGACAAATATTGAGCAGTGAGATATACGTGCAGTGAGAAAACAGAAATTAACTTAATTTAACAATTAATAAACAGTTAACTTAATTAAATAACCTACCTGTCGGACTGTTTCATCAGCTTCATCCCAACTTCTCATACCAGTAAACTTGAAGTCGTGAGGCAAGAACTTCTCTTGTTCCGCCAGTCTACCGCATTTGTACACCTGAGGGCATGTTTTTATACACACAAGAACAATTTAACTTTTTCAACTTTATTCAGCCAAATAATGAATATTAAATATCCATGTTTTCGGCTCAGTGTATTCACATTTTTGTAATATTCTCACGTAAAACTGATGTTTACAGGAATATGGCATTAATAAATGAACCTTGTCTAATGAATTAGATGTTGTAACTTGTTGACCTTTCACTACATTTTATGCTTGAGTAAAAGTTACGAAGTCGTGACGAGTCGACGGTTACTCAATCAACAAATTGACTACAACCACACCAATATCGAAACCAACCAAGCTCAAATCTTATTATGTGGCAGCTTCCGAATTTAATCTGAATATTGAATAGCATGAGCATAACGGCAAGCGTTTTAAAATCATGACGTCATGAATTTATAATACTGCGCTGCGATCGCACTGTTATTATATAAGCAATACCACTACCACTTCCAGTCAAGAATTGGAATATATACCATTATACCATATATATAATAGCATATCATAACGTCGAAACAAACAAACAACATGTACTCATACAGGATAATATGTTATACACATACTGCATAAATTAAAGACAGCACAGATACATAATATGATGCTTATATTCATAGCCGTGAACACCTCCCAATGATAATGCAGATAACAGATATGTGTGTGGCAGCCCATGTGTGTGCCGTGTGGCAGCCCGCAACAATGATATACAGGTGTACCGCAATATATGTCAGTTACGAAACAAGCTGTTGTCAGCCACATAAAGAACAACATTAGTCACTAAGTCACACACAACAATAGTCACATACTTGAACTGTGAACACGAAACACATACCTGTTTCATAAAATCCTTCTTAGCGTTACCATAACCGTTGAAGACCAGATCAGCGAACACCAGCCTTGTTTTACAGTAGATAAGAAACATTCCAGGTATGACGTTGTGTCTGTTCTTCAGTAGTTTGTTGGTGGACATGTCGTATTTTACGAGCCGGTATTTGTCTTGTACCGCCTGCACACACGGCTGGGATCGACTGAAGAATATATTGGGTTAGCAAGTTACTGTAATACTATGATAAGTAGAGTAAAAAGGGTTGGAATTGCTCCTCTAAGTGGGGACCTATCGTAATTATAGAGGAATAGACTCTAATTCAATTCTTAAATTAACAAGAATTTCGCCGCGGTCAAACCACGCACGATCAAGTTTCCCTACCATGTACATTGTACTTGTACCATTAATTCTTTTGAGTGAAAAGTGTGACTGGAAAAAAGTGCACCATATATACATATTATGTTTTTTATAAATGAGTGGGATTCGTGCATGGTAAAAATTGACGATTTATTTGACCAATGCAGCGCCGCGCATCAACAATAAATGAATCCAGAAAATTGCGGAAAATAACTTTGCGAAGGAGGAATTTCACTGTAATTAATTAACACGTGGCTAGCGTCGCGCGCAGTATAACAGACGCTTCCTATACACTTAATTATAGGGGAGTGGTCTATATTGCGAAGGAGCAGACTTTTGTCATCATCGCAGGTCCATCGGGCCACCTCATATATCCAAACCCGATTACTTATTCCCTACGATCTTTTTGCCTTCGGCAAGAGCAGGGAAAAAAATTATATAAGCTTAATCAGAATATATTATGTACACGGTAAGCAGAAATATGAAGACCATTGAAATTTAAAAACATTTGAAAGCCAGTTTTAAATTTTTATAGTTTGCTCTAAAAATAACCTGTAATTGAAACCGTAATTAATTAACATGTAAGTGTAATTGATATTAACCTGTAATTGATACCGTTAACCTGTTAATGTAATTAACCTGTAATTGATACCGTAGGATATCTCCTCCATCATAGCATCACAAGGAGTAGCCTCGGGATGGAAACTAGAATATACTGATATTACAACCAGTTGTTGGGAACACTCCGAGATGACACGATCAAACTCCATATCTGTAATCTGGGGCATCACTCTCCAGTCACACTTACCTGTTAAAAGAGGGTCGGTGTTAAGTTAGGGAATCTACAGTTAGCAGCAGGATCTATCAATTAGATGTTAATCAATACAGAATATTCAATAGGTCAGCGTAAAATAAGGAACGCCAGCAGTTGAAATAAATGTTGATAAGAAATAGAAAGATGAAATTATGAGCACTATCAGGAAGAAATCAACCTACACATCATTTCCTCGTTGGTAGCCAGGTAGATCCTCATTGCTAGAGGGCATGTCAGCGTGAGCCTCTTCCTCGGAGACTTAATCCTGCTGCACGCTGAAGAACCTCTCGTCTTCCAACTCTTCTTCTTTGGATCTTTTCTCTCAGGAAAGACCAGGAAGGGTGAACTGTTCAAATTGATCGTGACACAGGTCTTCTTCTTGCAGCCTCCTGATATGGTCTTGAAACCAGCTGGCAGCTTGAGGAGAGTTGCTTCAGAATCAGTGGCTCCTTTGGAAGCTTTAGAAGCAGCAGACAAGGCCCTGCTGTTCCTTGAACTTGCTCTTCCTAGAGAAAGCTCTTGTCTGAAATTCAGCAGAAACTCGTCCACAGTCTTTACGATTTTCTTAGATGTATTGATGAGATATCTATCAGTGGGATCAGCTATGGAATGTTTGTGAGGATACAACAATTCCTCGGTCTCCGAATCGTCTGTAACACGTGTTGAGCTGATTCGTTTCTGCCTGAGTCGTCTTCTGTTCCTTGTTTTAGGAGCGTTCAGGATGGTCTGAGCAGTCACTGATCTGAACGCAACACTTGACATTAACACAGGAGACTGTACTGTGTCCTCTATCGGAACTTTGACGGTTTTAACGTTGATAAACACGCACTCGTCAGACAGTTGGAGGTGCAGGTAAACCTCTCCAGTTGAGGTGAAGAACAAGGTTAGAAAATCGTTAATTGTCAACAAGAAGTCTTCAGTGTCAACACTGTTCCAAGACCATGATTTACAAGGAACTCCTTCTTCGTTGTAGACACATCCACCTAAGATAGTGGAGAGGAATGCAGGAGTTTTCTGATTATACCAACAACTGCCTACACCAGAGGGATTGAAGGAAGCTACGATAAATTCCGCTTGGAGATGGTGAAAGATGTTGATCGTTCTGGTGAAATCTTGCTCTTTTGGAAGAGGAAAGTTTGACAGGACGCAACAAACACTCCCATTAGGATAGTAAAGCGTGGTGCTCCCGTCAGGAAATGCGAACAGCAACTGAGAGGTCATGTCTTGTGGAACCTCAGTTACAAAACCAACTTTGTGTCTCCCCGACCAGCTGAACGGTCTCCTACTCTTATACGGATCACTCTCAAACTCAGAATAATATTTTAGGAGTGACGGATACTTCTCCTGGTTATCTTTCTTAACCTCAGCGGTCTTGTTCATCTTGCACTTCTGAAGCCGTTCCAGCAGATACTTCACCAGTGATCTGTCTTTAGCTCGCCGTCTCCTTGGTTTATAATCCAGCCTTTAGCAGCACAGTTCTGGTTGATGAGAGAGAAGTTAATAGTTGTGTTGTGTGGTTGTATTTCATACAAATTTTCCATTTCTTTTCGTCTCATCCCGGACTTTTCTTTACCCATACGGCTGCCAGCATCAGACTGCTGGTTGTTTTCTAGATACAGATCCTCGATAATATCACTCTGATCAGATAACATGTTCCTTCGCCGCGCTGACTCTCTCCGCGCGCTCTTTATCCCCCCGTAAATAGTTCCCTCGTTTGAGCGACTGCTGGTTCCACCGTCGGTCTCCCCTCCGGAGAACAATGTCTTTTGCCGCCTACTGTACATGTGTTGTTAGTTTTTATTTGTTATTGATACGACATGGTACTATATCATGACGCGTTTTAGATGATAAAACTAGAGGGACCACTAGGCTGAATCGTTTAACGTTTACGTCATTATTTTCTGTCATATCATACGAATCAGGAATAAGGATAATATTATGATTATGATCTTTATGTTTAAATCAATAAATTCGATTTATCATATTATGATGAGTTCTAAGCATTAAGCAGGTTATAATACTAATGAAAGTTCAGTGACAGCTTCATTAATAACGATTATTTACCCCAATTTGTCAATTCTACACCGGAAATTCACACCAATCAGAGCCAATTACAGCAAATACCTAGTCAGACGCACATAATTACCATTTGTAACACAAAGTCACGTTAAAAAATGATAGCAAGCCAACAAGCACGCTGTCTTAAATCTGCATATTTCAGACTGACATGCATTGCAACAACACCACTACACACTACTGTACACCACACTTAACAAACGTATTACAAACTCAACATTACCGAGATTTTCCGCTTCTTGAGCCATCGAAGGACTGAGTCAGTTCCGAGACTTGGGAGTTGAGTTTGCCGGTGGTTGCGTCCCGGGCGTTTTGGGGCGGTGAACCGCGCTGCCACTCTCGGTACTCGACCTCCGTGTCGGCGGTGAGTTTGTAGAAGTTGGAGAGGAACACCTCACGTGATTCACTAGGGATCATGTCAGGGGAGATGGCATAGTTCTCCTTGGACAGGAACTCTAGAGTTCTAGTTAGATCCTCAAATAGATCACCTAAGGTTTTACATGCTTTTAGCGATTTTAAAATGAAATAAATCTCTATATACTATAAGGCAGACAATTACATGATATAATAACAGAATTGTAAGTGAAGCAATATCTTAACAAAAGTGCAAATCTACCTGACTGAGCCTTCAATATCTGGAATTTCTCATGTAAAGTAATCTTCTCCACAGGACTGGGATCAATCATGTCGAATGTTAAGATAGCTTGTTTCAAGAGAGGCAGAAACTTGTGCAAGCTGGGAGTAGTGCTGGTGAGTGAGGTGCCATCTTGCAGAAACAACCTGGCATCCTCCTCAATACGGGACACAAGCTCGTGATTGTAGTTTGACATGCGCGACTCCTTCGCCTCCGTCCCCGGAGTGGTCCCGGGTCTCGTCTTTGTTTCATCTACAGTTTCTTTTTCTAGCTTGCTCTTGGCAGAGTCTTGTTTTGTGAGGGATGCTTCTTCTTCCAAGGATTCGACGAGAGCTAGAGATTTTCGTTGTCTCCGAACAAACGGAGACTCGTCATGTTGGAAGAAGTAGATTGGACCCCCGGCAACCATCTCATTGACATCTTCTACTAGGAGTCATCTGTTAGGTACTCTAATTTTAGGCTTATTAAGTTAAGTTTGAACCACTGATCTATTCAGTCTAAAAGAAAGTACATTTTTATTGAGCTCATAAAAAACTGAACACAGCACAGATGCGATGAAAGAGTTCGAAATCAGGACGTTTGTTAAAACAATGGTTTAATGCTACCATTAATAAATATTACATCAAAATTGAATAAAAATAAAATAAGTTCATAATAAGCTGTCGTCAAATTCATTATAATTTTAAGCTCCACAACCATGACCATCCACTGCTGCCTAATACCAAATCATAATCCACAGTCCAACTGAATTCTGTCTCTGCCTGGTGATATTGTGTTCTTCTACACACCGAAACATGTCTGAAACATTCCATAAAACGGGAACTGAGTTTTCTCAAAGATCCTCTTCGTCATCATCGTCACTACCGAATATGTTCTTTGCTTCGTCCTCCGCCTCTTCTTCTTCCTCTTCTGATGATGGGGTGGGTGTCTTGTCTTTTTCTGGACTCCTTTTCTCTTCTGTTTCAGCTGAATTAATGGTGCTGTTAGATTTAAAACAGAGAAAATTATGCCATTTTTAACCAAAGGTCTTGTCGCACAGTAAAGGAAATCTCGTAAAGTAAATAACTATCAAAATAATTAAGTTTGTATCGCTTTATCAACTGCTTCATTTGACAAGAAAACTCACTGTTATTGTTATCGTTATCAGGGGACAACTTGGGACTACCAAACTCGTTGTCACTCTCCCCATCTTCCTTTTTGTCGGGTGGTGCTACTTGCTCCTCTACTTCTTCTTCTGCTTCTTCGTCTATCTCTGCTTTCTCCAGAGCTTTCATTCTGACTTCCTGTATTGGTACTTCGATTGTGAGGCAAATTTTGGTACAAAAATCATTTATTTTTTCGAAAATCAATAGTTTTAAATGGCAACCCAATATTGACGTTAAAAAGATAATATAAAAATAACCATTTGTTGAAGCTCAGGATCCAACAGTTCTCGAGGTTTGACGACCAGCTTAATCTTGTTCCTTTTCTTTCCCTTGTATCTACGTTTAGCCAACTTTACTCGTGTACCTAACTCGTTGTAGTACACGTTACCATCACGCCACACTATGAAGAACTTCTCTTCGTATCTGGGAGAAGTACTCGGATGATGATCAATTAAAAAACACAAGTTTGATGAAAGCTTAATTTAGCTTGATATGAATGTTCTTTAATGTATTGGCATTGAAGGAAACGTAAATTAATTCAGTAATCATAAGAACAAACTGAATACCTTGTGGTATATTCATATTCCCGAAGTCCTAAATTTCATATTAGAACTCTCAATTAGAGTCGCAACATCTCCGATATCTGACAACTAGGCAATAAGACTGTGTTCTCAAACTTTTCACCTACCCTTTACTGGCTTCATCTTTGTTGACGGTCCAGTTGTACTCTCTAGCTAGTTTGTATTCCAAACTCTCAATCTCATCCTTGTTTCCACCGTCTAGCTTTGTCATGGTCTCATTGGTTGGAAGGAAATACACGACAAACTGGTTACCTTCGTCATCTACCATACCTGAAATGTTTATTTGTTTAACATGTGTCATCTTAGCATAAAAACGATTGAATTTGTAAAGAAACAAGTATAATAATACGTAACCAGATTGAAAATTCTACGTTTTAAACATAAGACAGCAAATTTCATAAAAAGCAAACCTCTTATCATAGCATTGTCCATCTTGCTGTCAAGATTTACAAGGTCGCATGCATCAAAACCAATGGGTGTTGGTTTTGTATCAAATGCAACTTGTGAGAAAGGATACTTCCAATATTCAAAGTCAGGATATATGGGACAACTTTCAACAGGATAAACACCATTCTTTCTATTAGGTACTGTGTGGGTAGCAGCTTCAAATGTGTTTTCAATGGCATCAATCTGAGAATCTCTGTCCTTGTAAATATCTTTGTTTAGCAGCCTTTTCTTGGCACCAAGACCAACTTTGTTCTCTGTGCCAAGACCGAGATTTTGAAATTGTCTGTAATCTGATGAAATGTACTCAGTGCGACGAAGCCAAGAAACTCTGTGACCTTTTCGTTGGGTTTTTACTTGATCTGTGGCTGGAACAACCTGAAAATATAGCTCATTAGATTAAAATACAATAAATCCACAAAGAGTCAACAGATAAGAATTTTTAAAACAGTACAATCATTTTAGCTGTTACTGCTGTACAGTTAAGTGTGCATAGATGTAAATACATACATGCTTATTTCTTAGTGCTGTTATGCATATTTGTGTAGCTCACCAAATATTAATAATTAAAAACCTGGTCTAATTAATCGTTAGTTTAAATCAAGTGTACAATTGTACATGTGTGTTCAGTTTTTATCCACTGAAGATTGTTTTGAACTCACTTCATCCTCTAACAGTTTTTCATCAACTTCATTGAAATTAGACACCTCAGCATCGTTATCACAGTCCATTGAAATAAGATCTATATCCAAACCAAGATCAGCCTCAGTGTGGAGCTCATGCTTGTAGTTTCCTTCTAATGATGTGTGCTTGTACTGAAAATATGATATGGATTAATGAAACACTTTTTGTAAATTTGAAGATAACCACAAGCAGTGAATATGCACACAATATGCACACATGATGTATTTTAATCAAATATGAACTAGTAATAACAAAGTTACCTTTACAAAACGGTGAGGATCAAAAGGATATGTTAGAAACTTTGGGTCAAAGGGAATATCTGGGAGCTTGTTGCAGTACTTCACACGACATAGCAAGTCCTTCTGCCTCTCTTTGTTAGAACTGCCAGACGACCTTGGTACAACCATGTGCTGTACAAACATGAGTTATTTCAACAGATCACAAAAGAAAAATTAAATCCTTGCAAATAAGTTTAAAAACAGATAATATATGTTGGTTGTCAATTTTACCAGAGAAAAATACAGTTATATTTTAAACTTGCAACTACAACAAAAATCAGAAATTACTCCAACAAATGTCTCAGCTAAAGTCTTTAAATATATATAGATTTGCAGATAGATTCATACCGCATTTTATAGATAAACACTCATAATGACTTGACATTCATGATTTGATTGTTTTGTACAGAAAATACCATGCAAGCAAACAAAAATTGGGAATCGTCATTTTTCCCATTGACAATGTTATATACTCGTTTTAGCAAGGGGTCTCCTTGTCCTTGGATCTGTGTTTTGATCCGTCTTTTCTTAAAATTTTCAATTTGTGTCACTTAGACTCACCTATTAAATGTTAATCGACACCACTGGTCCTAGTTAGATTTAGCCAAGGCACGACTACTCAAAAGTAACAGTTAAATAGGTGTGACATACTATTATATTCTTATAATTATATCATATGAATTGATTGCACTGCTAATAAATAAAATACTTTGTTTTACTAAATACTTTGTTTTACTAGTTTTAGTACTGGACATTGAACAGTATTTTAAGGCATTTATGAGTGTACGACATTTAGTACAGCAGGGTAGTGCAGAGAGTTCAGTTTAACACCTCTGTTTTGGGGAGCAGAGAGTTCATTTTAACATTTCTGTTTTGATTATCAGAGGGTGCATTTTAGCACCTCTGTTCAGGTTACAAAGAGGATAGTTTAGGAATTGTTTAGAGCAGAGAGTTTGGGGGAGCAGAGAGTTCATTTTAAGGGGGCCAGGGGGGGGTCTTCATAAAAATTCTTTCGAAATTGACTTTATAGTTGTTTCTGATAGAGGGGAGTGATATCTATCAGCTGTTTTTAGTCCCATGGAAAAATATTGTTCCTAGCCGAAATTATTGCCGGTCAAAGGTCAGCGTTTATGTGTAATTGTATTGTGCGAGCGATTTTCAATCCTGCACCCTGAAAATCGAGTCTAAAAATCTATCTTCCCCTACATTTTTGAGCAATCACCCTGAAACTTTCAGGATATGTTCTAAGGACCATTTAGAAAAGATTGCCGGGCCACAATTTTGAGATAGGTCTTAGAACATTTTTTATTCGATTTTGAAAATCTTGGACCTGAAAAAATCGTCAAAAAACACACAAAATCACCTACAAATTTATTATGTCAATACCTGTACAGCACATAATAAACATGACAAAAACCATGACCTCTGAAATATCAAAAGTCAGTCAGTGCTAATAAACAAAACTCTTGCATTATGCCACTTAACGGCCAGGTAGCGTAGTTGGTTAATCATCGGATTTGTAATCGTGAGATTGCGAGTTCGAAACCCACTGCCTGCCTAGTCGTGGGGTGAGTGTCGTCGACATTCAGCTAAAGATCCTGAGTGGTCTATGCAGCCCCCGGTCTACTCAGCCGAATACTCGAGAAATCGTGTGTGAGGGTTAAATGAGAAGCTGTCCATTGCAGCGAAGTCTCGGGCGAAGAAAGTATGGTACACACTACCTTAACCGTCACTGGCCTAATTCAATCCTTCGGCTTCCTGTAATTGGCTAGTTACACTTGTGTAACAATGTGGCTGTTGGAATACTCCGAAGTAAAATAAGTGTGAGATAAAAAACATAGTATAAAAAACTCCTAGATGTAGTCCAGTGCATGTGCAGCTTCTGTTTACAGTTGTCATTAGAGGATTGCCCAGACCGGGATCCCAAGAGTCCGCGGCCCCTTCAGCTTCAGTTATGCTTAATAGGGGTTGTACCCAGGAGCGACTTTACGACTCAATTTAATAGCATCCATATGCTGTTATTGTCAGTCTTCCTGCATTATTATTATTATCAAACATGTCAATCTTACAAATGTCAACAATCCTAAAATAATTTAGAACCGAAACGTGATCCTTTGTAAAAGTATATGTCCCAAAAGTCAAATTGACTTGTACTCAAGTATCAAATTGAACAATTTACTCCAATAACCACGGTCACTAGCAAGTTCTCTCAAATGTAGAATATCATCATACGACTCCAGCAAGATGAAACGCTTCCAGAGGTCAACTTACCTGAGGACCCCAGGCTTTAATGTTGGTAAACAACATTAGAGAATAGAGATTAGGCGGAATGACAGGCTGAGCGCGGCCCAGTAAGAGGTCAACCTTCAGGTGGTGTAGGAGGTTACGTCTGTGAGCCCCAAGTCTACCAACTTCACTACACATCTCGACAGCAAAACACAGCGCAGCTTGAGCTATCCACCTAGATAACTCAGCACGCTCAGACATAGGGGTAGAGTTACTCTGTTTGTAGAGGGTATCTTTGGACATCATACTGCGTGGCCGGCTGACATTCATGATCTTTCTGAGATGGTTACGGTGACATGCATCTAGTTTGTCCCAGTACGATTTAGGCATTCCCCAGCAACTAGAGTTATAGATGAGGATGGATACTACTTGGGCCTCATAGACCTTCAGCTTCTTCTGTAGGTCTTCCTGCACTATATGCAAGAAACGAGAAGACACTTTTTATCAAGATCAGGTTTTGGAAACTGAGATATGATCATTTGGATCCCTTATCTTCTTAAGGAGTCTGATGACCGGACTGCACCAAAATTATAAAGCGGGTAGCAGCAAAAGTATCGGACAAAAGTATCGGGCAAAAGAGGCGAGCATTATGCTTATGTGATGGGAGTTATCTTCTTTCTACTTCAGAGTGTCATCAAATTCAAAGCCGTTCGAGGTGTCTGCGGAAAAGCTGTTGCCTGGGTAACGTTGCCTGTTGGCACCCCTGCTGAAAAGCGTCCCCCTGTTGGCGCCCACTGTACTCCCTATTTGGAGCCTTCCCTAAAATTGGGCATAAATTAGATGATTTTAGAGGATGAGCCGGTCAAATCTCTAAAAAAGTGTGTTTCTAGATCAAAACGCGCAGTTTTGCTAGTACCGTAGTTAAGTTAACGGGTGATACTCGTAAAATATCTGTTCCATATATTGGACCGTCGACGAGTCCAACTCGGCGCGCGTCCTGGTAGGTTGTATACAATTACAATTTATACAATTACAATTTTCATTTTCCACAGAAGAATCAATACATATTGAATTATAAATATCCGATAATTCCATTAATAATCATTAAAAGTTGCTTTGTCTGTAAAATCAAAAACGAAAAGCCGTACGCTGAACTGTGAACGCGCGCGGCATTTTTTCTGCAGCTGCCTAGCTTCAAGTTTGTAGCCGCTTACATCAAAGCCGCCGCGCGCGCCCAGTGCTGGGGTGCATTCTCATTAACAATTAAACTTGGTCAAAGATAGTTATACACAATTCCTAAATTAAATCAATTATAATCATGTTAGTAGAGGCTCTTACGGGCATTACCTGTAAAATCCGCTAGGGACCCCAGATACACTTTACTAGACGTATTTTTGACCGTAGAATCGATTAAAAGTGGTTTCAAGACGATTGGACTGAGTTAGCGCGGTGAAAATCGCAAAAAAACCGATTTTTGGGCCAAAAATAGGCCAAAAAACCATGTTTTTTGATAATTTGAGCAAGTTAATTTTGTTGGCATGTCGGAAAACTTGCATGAAGATAGCTAAAAGACAGCCGCACAAGATGGTATAAAAATAAAACAAATCCCTCTATTTTAGCGCAGGTAAAAATCCAAAAAAGTGGTAAAAATTTTGACTTTTTTGCTTGAAGCTTGAATAATTTTTTGCAGTTGTATTAAATCCACCCAAAAATAGTCACATTGTGTTTGCCTAAATTTTTCCTTTCCGAGAAGTACCCACTTCATATACTTTATCGAAGTTTGAATATTGTCACTCCGCAAGCGTTTTTGCCAAATTTTCGACGCTCACTACGCGCAAAAGCATTTAGCTGTTATCAATTGGCACCCGTGCGTTCATCATAAATTTCAAACAACTATAACTCAGCGAGATTATGTCCGTTCTAGCTCATATTTTTACACCAAATAGAAAATAATGTGATCTTTATGCTGACAAAATATGAATATAATTACTTTATTTGCTTTAGAGTAATAGACTGTCAAAGTTTAAAACGCGCATTGGTATAGCACGTGACTAATAAGGCCAAATTTATACTTCTTAACATATTATCGATCCTTAGACATCATACTATTGTGTCTAATTAGCGGTTAGGTCTCTAAACTCGTAGCAGAATACACGTCTTTTTGCCCGTAAGAGCCTCTACTATGTTAATATGAGTATTCAACACTAGTCGACAACAAATATTTGCCGGGGCCGGCCCATCTGCCGGCCCATCAACGATGTAAACCTACAATAGTTAAGCCAATTGGCAATTGCATCACCTCATAATTTGATTGGATGTATCATTTTATTTGTAACGTGCGCCGGGTTCGACTCGTCGACGGTCTTGATATTAGTATTCGAAACAAATATTTTACGAGTATTACCTGGTAACATTTTATACATGCATTTTGAATTTCGTAGTATGGCCTTAATAGTACATAAAATGAATTCACAGTTAACTCAATTTTTTATAAAAAGGTATTACTATAACTGAATCTTTACACTTAACTTTGTAGCGCGATGCACTACTGGGTCGCGCGCGCATCAAATAATGCTTCTCGCAACCACATATGCACGTATGCAGATCGGCGAGATGCGAAGGATTGACATCGTGAATCAAGGCAATTGTTACGAAGTATAGCGCGCGCCGGGCCAGTGCAGACCATTAACAATGGTCAAGTCTGAAGTCGTTACCCCCAATGTCGTTTCACCTGAAGCTAGAGTTTTTACGATACAGGGGGAGCCGCGCACTCGTGCGCGGCGGGTCATACAATGTATGATAACATTAAACCAATTCGCAATTGCTATTAGTTTACTTGCTCTAACCAGAGCCCTCTCGCCCTCTCACATAAATATAATAGCCTGGCCTGAGGTCCCCAGGTAAGCTTGCAGTAGCGCTCGACCGCTGAAGGCGGCACTATTTTACTTATTGTGAAACAAGCGCGCGAAAAGTGGCATGCAACGTATGTCAAAGTACGCGTAGACTCATGCCTTAATGTGAATTAGTTCATCTGTGAACAGTGGAATGTACCATGGCCGCAACAGGCCCTGATGGTTAAATATTACTAGATCTAATTACAACTTGACTAGAAAATAGCGTCCAGCTTGAACATATGGGCTGAAAGTCTATGATAGACAATTAAAACCAGGACTTTCGAATTTATAAAAATGTTCACTGTAATACAAATTAACGTTATGTTATCATTCAATTAGTTGCATAACTTAAAAAGTAAAAACTACAAAATCCACAAAGTATACATGGGTCAAACGCAAAGATTAAGAGGGTTATAGAAGAATTAGAGAGTTAAAAAGTTATCCCACAAACAAGGTCAAACGTACATCAGATGTTTGCATTGTGTCAGTGCTTGATTAAGAAATTCAGATGTCAATCCTAGTCATGTATTATGTCAAGCTAAAAACGAATCAACTATTCCTCTCAAAACGAAAACTAACCCAACTTGTTAATCTCCAGTTCGCTTTTTCAAAAAGCCAACAAGGCTGTTTTCTGCTCTATCAAAAATGGGTATACAATATACGTAATATGTTAACACAGATTGACTGCTAAGACGCAAAACACAATATACAATTACAAAAAGGCAAAACAACTTTTCACACTCATGCACAGGTCAATTGAACATGAGGCTGTAATCTAAATTTCCCTTGTACAGCTTGTCCTTGACAATCTGCAGCTGAGTATCATTTAAGAACTTCCCACTGAACACACTACCGTCATCCTTCGGTATGTTTTCTTCTTCCTTGTAGTTGAGCCTGCAAAATATTAATGCTAAGAAATTAAATACAACATGTGTAAGGAGATCGGACTCAATGTTCAACAAGTTGGTGTACCTTATGGGTCCTAATTCGGACGGACAAAATTATAGATGACTGTAATTTTGGATTCTTGTTACAGCTTTCTTTTTCCCTCATATTAAATAATAAACTTTGAGTTTATAAATGCAATTGTGTCCCAACTCTGACAGCTTTGCCGTGAGTTACACAAAACTTAAACGACAAAGATATTTACAATCCATTTATGGTGAATTTGATTCGCTTTAATATTGGAAGCAGAGGGCTCACAACCGCATACCGATAAAGTATGCCAATATATCATTACAAGGTATGTAGTTCTTAATATGAAACTAATCGAATAAGGATTATAACTTGTTCCTTTCTAGAAACGTCGATAAATTCTCAATATACTGAACTAGTAGTAGGAATGAGCCATTAAATTGTTTTGACGTGTAATATAAATTAAACTAATCAGATTGAGCATCGGCCAATAAAATACCTATTCTTTGTCACGGGCTGCAACAAACTTACATTATCTTCCCCGCAAATATTCAACTCTATTTGTACCAAAACTTTTCGGGGCTCTCACCTGACAGATTCCAGGACACATAGTTTAGCCTGTTGACGGTAGTTTTCAATGCTATCCTGAACTGAGGCTGCTGCTGCAGAGTTAGTGGCGTCAAATGTGTTTACAGAGAAGAAACATCTCTTTGCGTATCGTAGCAAGTGCCTGAAGGAATAGATAATGAGAATTTAATTGAGCACTTTGGAGACAATTTCTCTGTGCATTATTTGAAAGTTTACAAACTGCCTTGCATTTAAAACAAGGCAGCTTTTGGATAAATACATGAGTCAAAATTTGTAATTTATAAAGAAGTGCCGTTGCTAGAAAAAAAAACTTTATTTGGTAATGAACCATCTTTCAGACTAACCATATTCTGTCTTTTCTGGGGGTCCAGGTAGGAAAAGCTTTGGTAAGATTGAGCTCCCCATGCTCGTTGATTTGAGGATGAAACACTGGTGTTATGAAGTTTACAGATGGCCTACTGTACGGGAAATCGTCTGGTATATTGAGGTTGAACTTGAAACATCCCTCTGCGAACATACCGATCTTTATGAAGATCACACCGTTCCAGACCTGGATAGATCGCAGAGACGGAACAACATATACACCAGACGACACGTTATTGCAGAGAAGCTTGTACTCCGCTAAGATCTCGTGGTCTCGGAAAAACGGCCTCAACTCCGACTCACTTTCACTGAGAGCTTCCTTGAGAGGCGCTTTTTGTGGCCTGTTTCTGATCACCATTGTGTTGGCACGCTTGAATCTGTTGATCTGAGGTGGTGAAGCCGGGGAGTCGTCATCCTTAGTGAGATCCTCCACTGACTTAGCACCGAATATCTGCTCCAGAATCTCGTCTCTTTCACTGTCACTAACATCAAGTTCATCGTCCGTGTGACCAGTTGTCCCACCCAGGGGACTGTCTGTGTCCCTTTTAGGATCCTCACAGACACAACTTTTAGAACAGTTGTCGCATGTTTTGTCGGAGGTTTTGTCACACTGGCTCTTCTCGGTTCGTTTTATTGTCTTGTGGTGTCTGATCAATGATCCGCCCGATTGGGCCGTTCTGTTGTCGATGGCTTTAGCTTTGCTTTCTTTGTTGCGAGAAAGAAAAGATCTGGGAGACCCTGACCCCGACTTAGGAGATCCCGAACCCTGGAACTGATCGAACTTGGAGAGGGTGTACGCCGATCTAGCAACAGACTCTCTTTGGATCTGGAGAATGTCTGATAAGGCTCCGACGAAGATATGGATCCCTGATTTTTGGGAGAGCCCACACTCCCGTTATTCGCTGACAATCTCTCCTTGCTCCCAGATAATCTCTCTTTGCTATCGATCTGATAGGGCTCTTTGTAAAACTTTGTGTCCGCTATCGAGGGTCTCACTTTCTTTAACTTCTCTTTATAAGAACTGAACAGTTTCTTTATCGGACTCTCTTTCTCCGGTTTGGTCTCTTCAGGAACTTCAGGCTCAATGTACGGCTTGTAAAGTGGCACATACTCCGGGTGTTCCTTAAGGTAGGTTTCACGAACAGACTTGTGTACCGGATCCAGGAAGTAGGACAGGTAGGTTATCATGCTTAGCTCGTCCACCTCGTCGCTGGTAAAAGACATGTTTCAGAGACAAGAAAAATATTGTTCGAGAAAAACAAAAACTTAAGTTTTCTGCGCGTGAAAATTCTGTTTCACTCTATGAACTTGTGCAAGAGTCTAAGAAACGAAGCAGCGAAGCAAACGAAGATAATATGCAATGATAGGTGGAGCGTGGGATTAGGAAGCATCTACAGTCTGCTTTAAAGATGACGTTATTGTTGCTATATAATGTGGAATATTACTCGTGATGTGTGTGTGTGAAGAACTGTAACAATAAACCAGATAAGGACATATTTTAAAACATCAAAGGAAAGTGCAATTTATCCCAAGACTGAATGTTTCAGACGGTGGTGTGCTTGTTAATCGTCGTACATATGACACATACCTTACTGGTTTTACATTTGTCCTTTGAAATTGTGGTTTAATGACACAGTGAAATGAGAGGCTACAAAACAGGGGTGTAGGAATACCCCTGCTACACAAAATATTTTACAAATAGAGCTGTCAATTTAGGCAACTTTTAATGTCGAGATTAATGCTTTTCCAATGTCCAACAGTTAAATTGGGAATGTGAAAATACACAGCAATGTTTAATGAGTATGTACCTAGTAAAATCCTCTGCTGACAGTAATCTAGGTATGTTCAGATGAGCCTGAGCTGCTGTCATAGCGTCGTCCGTAGCGCTTATGTAGTCGCCTCTCTCTGTAATATATTCAGTTACCAGTGAAACGGGCAAAGTAATTAATAACCTGCCAAAAATCACTTGATAAGCCTCCTCGGTGTACGGTGTAAAATTATGCAGATAAGAGATTTATGAACTTGTAAGTGATCTGGAGTTAAAGTGACCATATCTTAGCACATCACAAGGACCTAATTTAGCGGGATTTAGTACATGTCAACAAATATCACCGACTTGATCCATTAATAAATGGAGCAAGTCACCACAATTCTCTCTCTAGTACTAAATATAGCGACTTTATCACAATAGTTCTAAAGTCATCCCGTCACCCACCTATATTCATGAAGTCTCTGTTAAAAGCTGGAGCCAGATAGGTCACCAGGGCGGTCAGTGCCATGCCATCTCTCCAATCATCTCTGATGTTATTGACACGTAACTTCACTTTGTCTGAAATTTCACATGTTATCCTTACTATTATTTAACTCCTGGAATACAACGCGAAAAAAACCCACTAATAGTGCGTTGAGTAGCTGCAGAGAGTAGCCGAGGCTGGCTTATAAGGTCAAACGTGTGATAACCCCTGTCAACGGTCGCAAAGAATTCAGACTATTGGGGTGCAAATATAAATACTATATATTTTATTTCAGAGTACATTTAACGTGGAATACTCTGGAATATTCTCTTTGTTGCAGGTAAACACAGCTCTAATTCTGGACACTTTATTCCACAGTACGCGAGTAAGATGGTAAATTAAAGACTGTACATATTTAGTAAATAGTTTAGTAACTTTCAGATAGAACGAACCTAGAACTTTGTTGAGTCCTCTGATAAGGTTGTTTTTGAGACCAGGTCCGCCACTGCCTCCAACTCTCTTATCGCAGATCTGAGGTGACAAATACCGTGAATATTTGTTCTCATGCTATGAATCAAATATAGAAATATTCACTCAATTTGATTAATTATGCACAGTGTCAGAAATGGATATCATAGCAATGCGGTAGTATAGTGATGCAGTTCTACTACAACATGGGTGTACACTTTGGATTGAGACTTTTCACCAATAGTTGCCAGAGTAGAATAATAGGCACAATTCACGTACTCTAGTTCGACACGCACTATAGTTCGACAACTTAAGTTTAGTTCGCCAGATATCACCCCTGTCGATTGATATTAATATTAGGACGCAATGAAACTACCGGACCACGATGTATGGGGACTTACCACCCCATGGCAACATTAATATAGCGTACTCACTACTCTACAATATAGATCTACAAAACGGAGTACGAGTTACCACGATAGTTTTTTATCTCTCCGCTAAGTCTACAATTCTGTTTCAACTAACAATTGAGCCTGAGGTCAATAATTTATTTTATTGAATAAAATGTTCATAGATATAGATTAAAGAGTTCGGACTTCGGTAAATTTTAGACCTCATTGGATACAGCAGAAGAAATGTGAGAATTCAAAATGTACTCTAGTTCGATAGTCGAAGTTTTCTTGTCGAACTTTACTACGTGTCGACCTTGAGTCCAGGTAGCGCACTTAAGTTCGACAGAGTCGAACCTTAGGGTCTGTCGAACTACATTGCGTGTCGAACTTAAGTACGTGTACCAATAGGCACTACGCTGAAAGGTAATAGCTGCAGATGCAAGAGCGACTTACATGGGACCGGTGTTCAGTTTGGTAATGGTACGAGCATTCCTTGCGATTGAATCAAATGAAATTTTTATTGAATAACAATTATCGGGCTATCGATCAATCTCTAAATATATAGTCTCCGAGGTACTTCACAGGATAAGTGTGAAAACTGAACCAGACTTACACTGGTAAGATGATATCTTTGGATGAGACACCAGACAAGGCCTAGGATAAGTTTCAGGGAACCCCCAGCAATGTCCTGAGCCCCAATATTCGTCAACTTCACGTCCTCGCTGTAAACAAAAACGTTTTTTGATATTTTATCATATTGATTATCCTGTGTACTGTTGAATAATAAATGAGACTCGTCAAGCCGAGTGTGGACAGTGGGATAAACCTTAAAAATCCAAAAACCCGACTTGCGCTCCGTAGTTAAGGGCGGGGTCATGAGATAAATATAAAAATTTGGTTGCTCGAGCTGCAATTGCAATGTTGAATAAAGTCCTGTAAAGTGGCGTGAGTGACAGGTGACAAGATATTCACCGTCACTTAGTGACAGGTTACTTAGTACCTTACACACCCTCCCTCTCAAATCATAGACTCAGATACAATGCTAAGAAGCTTGTAGGCCAAGTTCAAAGCTAGTAAAAGTTACATTTTATGTGCATTTAAATGTGTGTCAGCTGAAGGGTGTAGGCTGTTGAAAAGTCGTATCATCAAACCGTCACGTGACAATCATGTGACCATCACGTGACACAGGATGAGTGAGTATGTGGTCAACACATAGTACTGACTATTAATAGAGTGACAGATTGAGATACGGTTAAAATTACTATTAGAGCGTCACACCAACAATAACGATCACGCACAGTGATAATATTATTAATAATCTTGTTAAATGTGTTCTGTAACGTACAATTGCAGATTATCACACAATTGCAGATTATCACACAATATACACAATCACACACTGATAACACACTTTGTACGTTACCTGGAACAGATGTCGAGAGCGAGCTGGACGTTGTCACACCTCTGTGTAATAGATTGCGGGAACATGTGATACCGTTTGACAGACTTGCCCGCAAGCACCTCCATCAGCCGGAGGAATATCGTACCATCGATAAAGTCCACTTTGAAGTTCTCGATCTTCGAACCTTGACAAATGAAAACATATAAGGGTTGCCATGACCACGAATCTTTGGAATTTGTCCAAATTTGAGCAGGGTTTACTGAACCATTTAGTCCTGTGTCCACTATACGGGTGGCAAACCAAACCTTTTCATTTAAAATCAACCAGCAAACAATAGAATTTGAAACATCTAACATCAGATGTAAACAAAATAGTCTACTACTACTACTAGTAACTACTAGCTAGTAACCTTTAGTAACTTTTAGTAACAACCTATAAATAAAGTGTACAGTGAGTTTAGTACCTGTATGTTGGGAGACCCACTTAGCAAATGTCCTATGCTGGATCTGTACCCATTTCATCTCAGTTTTCCTGATTGTACTGATACCCCGCTGTCCGGAGATGTTCCTCTTCCGTCTCCACGTTTCAAGCTGATCCCGGGTCCGTGGATCCATGACAGGGCCTTATTCTGATATCTAATCGGTCTGATAACGGCTGTTTAGTGTCTTTCTGGATAACCTCCTTCAGGAGTTCTATTTAGTTCTGCAGAAGATCCACTATCTTCTCTACGATCTCTGATCAAAGTGTTTAAAAACTGACGTCAGAGCAGGATAACAAGTTGTGTCCAGATTGTTGAGGAGTACAGCTATCAGGAGCAGGAGGAGAAGGAGAACATAAGGTAGACTAATAACACTGCGAAATACTGGCGTTCTAATTAGCACTCTAACAGCTGAGACAAACACAAACACACACAGTCAGTGATTTCAACAGACACACACGGCTGTGTTTTAAAACATGTGTTATTGACACTCGCTGACTCACAAACACCCAGATAAGCGCAGACTCAGACTGCCAGACGACACAACAACATCACCCTGTGTGCTAAACTTAGTCAGGCGTAAGGTAACGAACTAGGTTAAGGTATCGGAGAGAACTGTTGTCAGGGCTTAGTGAGAGCTCTCGGACAGGATATTTAGGAATTTGAATCCTTCTAAATGTAACACCTACACACGCAAATATCCAAATGTATGAAACATATTATATGTAATAAATCAAGGTTAAGTGACAAGCAAAAGTTGAATATATAATACTAGGGAGAAATAGTTGAAAAGTAGGATACTGTTTGGGGTACGCGTCGGAATGCGGCGAGGAGGTACAACATAAAAGCACTATACGGTAGGAAATCTGATACACAACATATTTATTACGTTCTAATATCATTAAATTCATCGGGCACATTGTTACACGTGACCACTATCACGCCTCACGCAGGACCAATGAAAAACAAAGGATCACTGGTTCCCGTTCCATTTACCGCCATTAGCATACAAAATACAGCTTATAATGGCGAGGGTTGGCAGTTAATACACCATTTAATCGAATGATAGTTTTGGCATACCGCAACTTAGCGTAGGATCAAATTTAATCAAAGATATCAGCTGAAACAGCTGTTATAAAAGTTGAGCACGATCCACCGTTACACGGCCAACAACGTTAAATTAGAGTGAAACTGGGCCAAATAGCCCACACAGTAGACTGCAAGTGATGAGTGTTACTGCAAATTCAAATGTTCGATGTGAAATCTGAGTAGAGGGAAACAGTGAGGATGTAAAAGCCATTAGGCCTAAAAAGGGGTCGTGATATGGCCTGTGCTGTGCACAGGTGTGACGCTGCGGGGGTCCTGAAAAACAAAGAGCAAGTAATTTAAAACTGCTGAACTCACCACATAACAAAGACACTTGGTAAGCCCACTGCCCGACAATGATCTCCAACAATACAATTTGACCTTTAAAATATTCAGCAGCGGTGTGCACTATAATATACCTGATAACAAGTGTCAACACGTTAAAGCCCTACGAGTTGTTGTTAGATTTAAGGACACAAATACACCATGTGTTACACACACCAAACGCACTCCACTCGTTCTGCACAAGTGAAAGGTGAGGGACCTCACTAGTCACTACCTCACTTCTCATGATTGGACGGGATCTCAGGGGTATGTTCTCAGGGTTGTCGCTATGGTGATGGTACACTGACAGCTAGACCTTTTCAGGGCTTGAGCTTGGAGTATCGTGTTACAGCTCACATACGTACGTATGGTGTAAGGTGCATGATTATATGGTCAACTTTATGTGATATATAAGTGTGATAAGAGCTGTTGGCTGGTATGGTGATAGGACTGATAACAGCTGGGAAAGTTAGTGGAATTTCTCTAAAGTTAAACGACACAAATACCAAGAATTATTGAAACAAATACGGGTTATTATTATTTGTTCGACGGCGAGAAGAGATACGTCTAATAGATCAACTAACTATCATAATCAACTCAATATCCCAATACAAATTACACACTGCGGAGCGTAAATCGAGCAGACAGTAAGATGTCCTGACACTGCATAAGATATTGTTAGCAAACAACGTGCCTGAAACTCTCAGAGGAACAAATATGGAAACTGAGTACCAAAATAATTCGACTGAGCTTATTTAACAGCGGCACAAAATACACGACACAGCCTATATAAAGTATGGAAGATTGAGCTAATGTCTGCATCATATCAAATAACTCCAACTCTCTCTCTCTCTCTCTCTCTCTCTCTACTCGATGATCAAAGGCTACAAAGTGTCAAGGTTGCCGATGTTAGCTCAACTTCTAGCATGCACAAATCATTACAAAAAGTAGGCCTCAATAAAAAGCTCATTATCTAGGTGGAGGAGAGCTCACAGTGGGGATGGTAGGAATATAGAAACGTTTCGGATTTTGTCTGCACATCTCAGATCATAGTATTAAACGATCCAGGATAATGCAAACCTGGGTATATGAACCTGTTTTATTAAATCCAACTATTAACTAACCTTACAAACACTCATTAGTCATTATTACCGATAGGATTAATATGACGCTGTTGGGGTATTTAGGAGAGAAATTAGGGTAATGTAGTTGAAAGCATTGTAAAATCAAAGAGAATACGTCTCCTCTTGATCAATAAACTTAAAGATCGGTAATAAGTTGTAAGGTGTTCAATCATCTAATGTGTTTGAGACGTCACTCGGTAAAGTTGTCTAAAATCGCGGAGGAGTGAAAATTGGCAAGGTGCCGGATTCTTTGGAACTCTAGTTATTGGATTTACAGGGTAAAAGTTACGAGGGTGGACCGGGAGGCAGTAAACGATTATTTAAATAATTGTAAAAATAGTACACAATTATAACATTATAGAATAAATAAATTACGTTTAATCTCTAAACGATTTCAAATCGGGGGTGAAAAATTCTCCCACTATTACCAATTCTTCGAATTAACGTTTATTAAAATAAGGTCAAACAAAACTCAATTATACATTTCTGTTTCATTTATTTTAACGTGAACATAAGAAGTCTCATTTAAAAGTATTTTTGATTAAACGGTAAAATAGTCCCGTACAAAGATCTCAATCATTCTCTGGATTGATTCAGTCTTTGAGATCTGGGACGGACAAATTATGGCGCTAAGCCTCGTTAAACATATTTTTGGTTTTAAAAGTTTTTATATAGCAGACATTTTTTGGATTTATTAAATCTGTAACCAATCCCATATAATTAAGAGGACACCGGTTTCACGACCGAAATTGGGAAAAAAAAATCATACACTGCTCGTAACAAAACTTTGAACTTTCGTGGTTTTTTTTTTGGAAAATCGAAGAAGGTACAACTATTTACAAAACTGTTTAAGCCTCTGTCAGCCCCCGAGAGATTTCATCTCAAGTGTACTCCCCTTTTTTTGCAGATTAGCTTTTGTACCGCTGCGCTTCCTCCATAAACCTCTTGAAGTCCTCTTCAACGTCACTGAAGTCATCTTCCTCCTCAAATTTGCTGAAAACACCCCACATATAGTTCATTGTGGATATAACCCGATATAATAAACACCCCCGATTTAGCTTGTTTTGGTGAAAAATCCCAGATATAAAATTTTGACGAAAACCCCCAATATAAAATAATTCGCTTATAACTTCCCGGCGGCGCGGCATAGGTTATTTCTTTAATTTATTCGATAGTCTCTCAATACTCAAGGTGTTTCTCTAATTCTTAAGGACGCGCCAGAAACATGTTTGTCTTGAGAATTATCACTACTGAATTATACTCTACTATAACGGAGTTGCTAACACGGATTATGAAAACTAACGAATTTGGCTCAGAAGGCTTTAATCACGTCAGACTGTTCAAGGAAATTGAAATATTGAATAAGACTAAGGCAGGATAGAGCACAAATTGCAACGAATACTGCATGGGAAGGATTGAACTACTATTTTTACTATTGGTAACAATATAGGAAGATATGTCACATCAAAGCTAAATCGGGCTATATTTTCTAGAACATCAACAGAAACTGTACAGTGTACAGCTAGTAGAAAAAAAAGGTGTGATCAAAGGCATTCTTTTTAGTAAACGGAGCGATGATTTTCTGCTGTAGTTTTATCACACGATCGCTTATGAAGGAATGTTGGTTATCAACAATAGGCATTTCCACTATTTGACATACTTCTGGTGAAATATCATACTATAGCATGGCTGCGGAAAAGCTGTTTTCTGCTAAAAGCTCGAAATCGCAATAGAATTGCACTAAAAGCTCGAAATTTAGAAGCCAGCTTTTCGCGGCTGTGTGGCCAGGTATTTAACTACATAATTCACATTCCTAAATCCAAACAAGACTATAAGATTGGAAGCTATTAAGCAAAGTGAACTGCTAACTAATGTATAAAAGGCATGAACGTCATGAGAAGAAGGACAACAAGGAATGCAACATTACAGCGAGTTGAACACAAAGACAAACAATTAAACCAAAATCATCCACTAACCCGGGTTACCTCAGAGAGAAACTATTAGCGGAACTAAAGTACACACAGTGCCGCAGTGCGGTGGGAGACACTTCTACAGTAGACTCGAATAGGATTTAGGCAATTACCGAGTCCCTTCTCGACTGTACAGTAGGTAGACTGTAGGTAAAGTAGGTAGACTGTAGTAGACACATCCTGCTAAACAGATGCCAGATAATACCACACACACACTGCACTAGCTAGTAAGTACACTAGCTCTTTTGAAGGACAGTTTATACGTCATGTTGGTACATGTTCTTTAGTATTATATAGTATATACGGTAAAGAGACCGGTTGCTAGGACTAAAGAAGTAACGACGATTATCGTGTAAGATTCTGCTGGAGAACAAAGAGATATATCAAGTACAGAGCGATGTTGAGAACAATGATGAACAGAGAAGACAGAAGACCAGGTGACGAGTTAACAAAGTAAGACTAGAGATTTTGTAACATTTAGGTTGAAGGTAAGGGTGCATGTTCCCAAAATTGCTCCATGTTTTCTGATCATTGGGGTTCTTGGAGCATCGATTAACAGAACTGTGGTTAAATACGCGGCTTGAGAAGATAAGTTGCACAATTTCTTGAGCCTCGTGTGATCGTTAATAACGAAGAGAAAACATCTAGTGACAAAACTGGGAATCAAGCTATTATTAATCAAAGGCAACATCTAGGTGCGGCAATATATAGCAAAACATGCGGTACCACATCCGTTCGAAAAAGCAAATTATGCGGCAAAGGTGCGGAAAAATAAGCTATTAGCCTAGGTTGATTAATGATCAACAAGCCGACGAAGATCAAACCACGCAAATAAGATATCTGATATTAGACAACCGTTATCAGTAATGTAAATAGTCATTTGTCAGGCTTCAGTCCTAAAATAACCCCCTATTTTTCTGGACCTAGTTTTGTTCAAATATGCCATCCTTCTCTAATTTTAAAATACCACCCACCCCTTGAAAACAACAAGAATACTGTGAACGTTTGGGCTAAACAATTTCAGAACAAAAATTCAGGGATCCGTGAGGTTTCCTGATTTGCAATATTCTGCAAGATCCTCAATTGACAACTATTGAAGAAGTTATTAACTCACAGCATTTGAGTGAGCCACTCTTCGTCATAGTCATCAGTAGCATAATCGTCCCACTCACCTAGAAAACGGAATATTAGAAGAGGATGACAGCACTCCAACTCTAGTAGAATCGATCGTGTAGCGTAAGTAATATCGAACTGTTCTATTATACATGAAGTAGATACAAGGTAATATAATATACGAACTAGAATATAACACATATCATTAAGTATCAGCAGAATTCACCAGCTTAAAAATTGGCAGAATTCCAACTAAAAAACACTAACTAGCGTTGTTGACAGGGCAACAGTCGTCCCTCCCGCTCCAGCTCTTAGTGTTTGAGTTACTGGGAGCCTGCTCCTCCTCTCTTATCTGCCAGCCTCCCTCGTTTAGCAGCAGCACGTTCTCCACCATGCTCCTTGTCTTACTGCGGATCACGTGATGTAAAAGAAACCACGTGTCACTCACGTGATGTAAGACACCACGTGCCATGTAATAGTCTAAAGACACGGGGTGTTATCAGTTAAATAATGTATGAGCTCATTATTTAGATTGTACAGTGCTGCTCTGAGTGTGTGGGAGCAGGATACTGTTATTAGACCTCTTATATCGAATAGTTGAAATGAACAATGAACCTGATGTGATGGAACCTATTAATTTTAACAATAGAACTCGTTACAGCCTTTATTAAGTGTCTTTTGAATGGCCTAATTTGTTAAATTTCGTGCTCGCATGCTCAGATACAGTTCAACAATCTACATCAAAATTCTTTGGCCGGTACAATCATGATTATATATGACTTCATAATCTATCACCATGTCATATGACTGTCGAGTGTGATAAGAAATATATGCAGAACAAGTGAAGACACATCTTATCTCATATCCTGACATTACATGATGACAGAAATGTAGTGAATGTGGGATAAGTAATGAGAGTGAGTATAGTAGTAGAGAGTGGTGAATACTAAATCTTGGCAAATCAGACCTACCCGTCAAGCTCGAACTTGGTACTGGCTTGGAGGTGCTGCATGATACAGTTAAACCTCATCTCGTCTACCAGCGCTTTCAGACTCTTTCCGCACACCAGAAATATCTTCGCGACTGTCTCAAACTGAGATAAAAATGTTAATATTTTCTTCACTAGCGCATAACAAATGATAGTGAACATTGTGCGACGCATGGACAAGATAACACTTCCTAGTTCCTACATAGTTCCTACATAACAGAGAAAGTTATGCGTGTTGTAAATTGTTATGTCCTGATTTACAAACTGCCATGGAAATGAATTGAAGTATAATTGATGAGCGTGTAATATCTCATTATCATCATATTATCTGACAAATTATGTGAAATCTGAGTAGTCGTTATTATTTAAACGTACAGCGAGGATAGTCCGGATTTGAACGAGCAGAAGACAGAGACTTGTCACTTGTTCCGCGAATAGAAACACTCTTAACTCACCCTCTGAAATGAGGAACAACAAGGTTTTAGCGGATTTATTAAGTCGTGTATGATCATAGGAAGCTGTACTATGTAGTAACAAAAAACAATTCAAGAAAAGTCCAAAACGACAATGGAAGGTTTCATCCATTAAAGAAAAGGACAAAAGATATTTGATCCAATTCCGGTGTTTATATATCAAAGTTACCAAAGTTACCTTTGATAGTGTGGAACAGCTCCGCGATCATGAGAGCAATGTTCTTGATCCTCTCCTGCGCAGCGGGGATCCTGTGATCCAGCCTCATACAATTATCAAACTCCCTGCAACACTTGTGAACCACTGTATCGAAGAAGGTGAGGGGCGGGTTACCTGAGTAGGGCTGCACTTTCAGAGTCAGGAAACTTATTATTTTACTCCCGATGATATGGAAGTTAGGATGGTTCTCTTCATCCACTGACTGAAAAAGTTGTGAAGTTGGTTAAATTGTTAGACTTTTTAGATCAGATTAAAAGCATGTTGCACAAACAACGCAGTGGGTGCGCCGTGCGGTGCATCATAGACCCTGGCCGTAACCTTTTACGATTTATATTTTATGATCAATAATAGCAAACATTTTCATTGTTTTCAACTTACAAATTCGAAAACGTCCTCCACTATCTGATGATAAGTGTTGACTGAAGTAGTCCAGTTCTTGATGGTGTCAACAGCGGACTCCATAACCGTTTCCACGTCTTGGGGTGTCCTCTGCAGCTGTACCAACTTCTTCTTTACCTGACGGGATTAAATGTCACCACCTCCTGAGCAGTCTTGTGTGCAATTTTACAAGTATTGGTTTACCCCCTGAAATGGCATTTTAATGCCATTGTAGGGGGTGTATGATAACAACGGTTCATACCGTCAAAAACATGCCATTTATGCAGTTATAGATTTAACTATTTAAGATTAAGATATGGGCTGAAATCATGGAGTTTCGTGAGAAACTTGACATTGTCTATAATAAGTTATAAAAATTGACTAATAACCATAACATACATCATTGATCGCCATTTCATCATCCGCTCTGGATTTCTTCTTGAAGCCCTCAGGCGTATACATGATTATAGACTTTTCAGGTTTCCGGAAACCAGGAACAAACTCGGAAGCAGCCACAGAGAGATTAGTAGAGCTGTGTTGTTGGGGCATCTGCTGGATCGGGGAGTGGGGCATTTGCTGGATTGGGGACTGGTGCTGAGGTGCTACACGCTGAGCAGGAGGGGGCTGAGCAGGCATGCGAGGGTGCATGATGGGCGGGCGCTGAGGCGCAACGGCGCTAGCCATGGTGTTTTGTCCAGGTGAACTGCTGCCACCGTGCACATGAGCAGTAGGAACACGGGGACCAACTGAGAAGCCTCCGCCCAGAGCCTGCAAGAAGTCCATCTGACTGACAGGACGATTCCCTTGATTCAATGCTGCAGCTCTGTTTGTATCAGCGGGATGATAAACGTTCTGCATGAGCATATTGTTATTCGGCTGACCGGGTCCAGGTCGTTGGCCTACTCCCATATTTTTCATGCCATATGTGAGATCACCCATCTGAGCATGGTGCTGGTATGGTTGCTGTGGCATCTGGTGTCCCATATTGGGGGGATACTGCTGTCCAGGTTGGTATCTTCCTTGACCGTGAGACATGACTATATCTATCGGGAAGGAAGGTTAATGAAGAGATATTTTTAAGAACTGGAACATCAAACGCATGTTATTATATTTATGAGGAAGGATATTTTTACTGTCGGTTAAGCTGAAGACCGCAACCGGTGACTTGATTATTAGAATAAGAAAGGATACTAATGAAACTATAAACTGTACTAAACTCCTTATAGTTATAAATTACACAACAAAATCTAATAATAATTTACAGACCGTATAACATAACTTTTCAAGAGGCCACTTGTTCTATCGATTGGTAATGAATTTGATGATTTGAGGTTATATTTAACCAATTAATGATAAAACTCATTCATAACAGTTATGATATATCTAGGTGAAGACTGATGATTTATCATTTTGCGATGTAATTGCATTCGTAGTTAAGTAAGATATGTGACTCGGAACCTTTGACAAACCCCATATTGGGCACGTTTACTAGTCTTTTAAAGTTTGATCATATACAGATTCCAATTGGAAAATTCTAGCAATCATCCTCATATCCGATAAGATGGGATCTCTTGTCGTTGCGAGTTATCAGAGATCTCCAAGCAGGCCTCTTATCCCATTCCCACACTTTTAGTCCACTAATTTTACGATCTAGCTGCCATTCTTTGATCCACCACGACTGTTCTGGGGGTGCCACTGAAAATAATTGGTATCAATATCAATAAAAAGTACTAGGAGAGTTAAACGAGCTGTGGGAGACGTTAGCTAACCAGCTTGGGCTACTTTAATTCTGGATCCAGGATCAATGATCATCTTCGATTGATAGATTTTTCGCAGATCATAATTTAACCGAAGAATAATTTAACCTTACAAAATCAGTATTTGATCTGGCAACTATTATAATCCTGCTACCGAAACTGCTGTAAGACTGGTTTAGGTTTGATTAGTGATTATTCGACCTATGTTATCGAGAAACGTATTGGGTACAACATCAATAACATCTGCAGTATCCTTCAAATTGAAATCGCAGTTGAGGTTGCAGATAACGATGGATTTCGCTTATTGTTCATCGGTTGGGTATTATATTTCGCTTAACATTTTGATAATATAAATTAGAGTCAAGTGTTGAGGTTAGAATTCATTGGTCTTATAAAAAACGGAAACGATCATCGCATCTGTTGAAATGTTTTCTCCATCAAAAAAATTCGTTCGTCAGTCATGATTCACCTTTACCTTGTTTTCTTGGAAGTTAGAAGTAATATGTCACTGTTGATAAGCTGACTTATAATCTAAGCTAACATAATATATCAGTCGTGGTTTGTTTTATTGCAGTAGCAGTAGCAGTGCGCGCGTTTAAAACTACGAGATAAGAAATAACGCGCCGCGCGAAAACTCTCTCCTCGCATATTTGTCAATGCGGCGGACGGACATCACATTATTTAGAAACATCTAATGGGCCCACGCTCGTTCCGACTCGTCGCAGTATCCTACAAAATTTAGTAATTAATGTTGTTGAGACATTGTTTTCTGTTCATCAGACACAATTGTCAGAAAAACTCCAAATTTGAGCTGAACATACATTTTCTGACCATTCAATACGAATTTATTCCAACAAGTAAGTTTGGTTTTCACATCACATGACCATCAACCAACCACATTCCACAAGATTGGCCAAATCGACAGCGTTAATCTAAAACATTTAGCAAATCTTCTTTCGAATTATATCGGCAAATTTGCCCATCATACAAAGATTATGTAAGAGAATGAAAAGGAACAACAGCTTCTTCCAATGAAGCTGCCTTTCTGTAGCAGCTGTGTACAATTTGACTCACACGAGAGTATGGAATATTGTTACATGACAGGTGGAAATGAAATCGAATGTTCTCGGTCGTAAATCTGTAACCACTATTTATTATGTAAATTTTACTTGATAATTAATATTTCACAACTTAATGTGAAAAGGAAAAACTGTTTTGAAACCAGGCAGAACTTTTGATTTCGGGGCGGTCGTCACCAGAATTAAAATGATACCCAAGCGATTATTTCTACACAAAAATAACATTATCCGTGAACTAATACTCCCTAGAGTAAAACCAATAGTACTGTTTGGTATGACAGTGTTTTACAAATAACAGTAAATTTGTAAAACTCTCATTTTATCGCTATCTGTAAAACTCCCTAAAATAACGTGCACATTCGCATGTTGCTATGACAACAACTACAAATGACAAGAACTGGCGTGTTTTGCTTCAATAATTTCTTTTCTCATGTGAAGCTTGCGTATCGAAATCTTAATATGTTAGATGGTTTCAAGAACTCTTAAAGAAAATCGACTCCTCAAAGACAGATGACATATATATCTATCGAAGATGGGGGTACAACAATTTGTAGCGGACTCAGTGTACTACTTGCTGGGGGGAGAAGTGCAGGTGTGCCCCAACATTACCGATCACAGTATATGCTGTATCATTACAGTGGTCTGTGTTATGTTGACATTGATATATGTGGTACACAGAAGTGCAGCTTCCCGACTCAGATCTGTGAATGTAAGCATCTAATAATACTGCATTTTCGTATTCAACAATTGTTCGAGCATATTTATGTTTCGTTTTTTTAAACGACAATTAAACAAGGACGAAAAAAATTCATAAGCAAACTACTGCCATCTTGATCATTAAGTAAAATTATATTTCTTAAGCTTTTTTTTATGACATGATTGATTATAGTACCTATTTTCAGGAAGAAAGAGAGTTGCTGCGTGAAGAGATAACAGACTTACGGAATATGATTAGTCGAGAGATGATTGGACAGCTACAGCAACCATCTATGGCATCTATGGAGACGATAGACAGTATGGAGAGAAAGGACGACTCCGAGTCATCGCTCCCGAGCGACTCACAGCTTCTTCTTGATCATAGTCACTCCTTTGACATCAATGCAGCAAGATTTTTTCACAATGACGAGAATAGAAAAATGGTTGCGCTCTTTCAAAATAATTTTAAAAGCTATGTGCAGCGAAAAACACAGTCCGAGTTAGATGCCAGCTTGCCAGCCATTTTCCCTCCACCGAAAGACAAATTTTGATTTGATATGACCAATGTTTCGAACATACAATTCATATCATTCGATAACCAATAACGAATTTCAATTCGAATATGCTAACGGTAAAACGTTTTCAAAGCTGAGTACAACACACCATGACCAATATCCCAAACTTGACACCTCATCTTATAATTTAAAACCAGATATTTTCGGGGGCACTCATTTTTCTGCATTTCTAAAATTGGATCATTTTCGCAGCATAATTTTCGCGAATGCATTACGCACATGATTCGATGGAGATTCAACGGATTTTTGTGTCCTAAAAACACGAACATAAATTCCACTCGGAAATTAATAGTTTTACAGTAAGTCGACTAAAACAGACATTCGAATAACTACAAACCACATAATGCTATGGAACATAACGCGACGCTGAGTCCTACTCTGAGTGCTAAAATGAGTGCTACACTGAGTGCTACACTGAGTGCTACACTGAGTGCTACACTGAGTGCTACACTGAGTGCTACACTGAGTGCTACACTGAGTGCTACACTGAGTGCTACACTGAGTGCTACACTGAGTGCTACACTGAGTGTTAAACTGAGTGTTAAACTGAGTGTCAAACTACTAACTGAGTGACAAACTGAGTGTTAAACTACTCACACGACAAGTGTCTAGGAAGGTAGATCTGTCTATCGTATGCAGTCCCGTCAGGACACTCCGGGTGGATGATCGGTTCAGGATGTTTGTACTTCTCGTACAGTCCAACCCCTTCCTCGTAAACTTGCTTCTGTCTCCTGGCGTCCTTCACCTGGTGTAAATATGAATTTGAAAGATGAATTATTAAATGTAATGGATGAGGAAAATTTAAAGGCTCAGCCACTCTGACCATCAGTGGCCCTGAGCTAAGATAGTATAGTATCTGTGACTCAGTGATACATAATATGATAATAACACAATAGATAGGTTTTAACATGAAATAAACTACTTACATCTCTATTCTTATCAAAGAGATACCGGATCCTGACCATGTCCCTACGTTGAAGATCAGTGTCTTTCCACTCGTAACTCCATACAGTTTGCAGACACGCACGGTACAATCTACACACACGTTGTGCGTGTGTCAAACCATCGTAGTTAAAAGGCCCAAACACAAAAGGAATTTTCTTTGCCATTCCTGATACATATTTAACATAATAAACATAGAGGCGATTGTTAATGTTGATTGTTCCAAAGTGGATCAATGATTTTATTGTGGGTTTTAATGGTTAAGGGGGCAGGGGGGGGTCTTCATGGAAATTTTCTCAAAATCGACTTTTTAGTTGTTTCTGATAGATGGGAGTGATATCTATCAGATGCTTTTAATCCGATAGAAAAATATTGCTCCTAGCAGAAATTATCGCCGGTAGAAGGTCAGCGCTTGTGTGTAATTGTATTGCGCGAGCGATTTTTGATCGCGTGCCCTGAAAATCGAGTCTAAAAATCTATCTCCTCCTACATTTTTTGAGCAATCACCCTCAAACTTTCATGATATGTTCTAGGGATCATTTAGAAGGCAAAATTTTGAGATAGGCCTTTAAACATTTTTTATTTGATTTTGAAAATCTTGGACCTGGTTTTTTGACGATTTTTCGAGGTCCAAGATTTTAAAAATCGAATAAAAAATGTTTAAAGGCCTATCTCAAAATTTTGCCTGGACAATCCCTTCTAAATGATCCTTAGAACATATCCTGAAAGTTGGGGGGTGATTGCTCAAAAAATGTAGGAGAAGATAGATTTTTAGACTCGATTTTCAGGGCACGCGATCAAAAATCGCTCGCGCAATACAATTACACACAAGCGCTGACCTTTTACCGGCGATAATTTCGGCTAGGAACAATATTTTTCTATTGGATTAAAAGCATCTGATAGATATCACTCCCCTCTATCAGAAACAACTAAAAAGTCGATTTTGAGAAAATTTCCATGAAGACCCCCCCCTGCCCCCTTAAATTTTAAACATATCAATAAAGTTTATAATGTTTAATGATCCAACAAAAGACATATTACTATATGAAGTATTAACAGTAAAAACATCATTTTGAACTTTACCACAGACAATCCATATTACTTCTAAATCTGATGAAGCACAATTGAGCACTGTTACAAAAATATATTTTAAATAATCAAACAAATCAATTATGACTAATTCCATTACATGCAAATTTCTAACAGTGATAAACAAATCAGGTTACATTAGTAACCATGCCATCAATGGACGAATATCATAATTTACATAAACTTTTTTATCCATTTCTTTAGAACACCATTGGAACTTAAACAAATAAATACAATAACTAACCCATATAGCAAAACAAACCCATAACATCTGATAAAAACTAAAAGTCTACTTTCTGCTTTAAGACTTGACGGAATCCTTTGTTTTGAAGAGTAGATAAGAACATGAGTAACTGCGACATGGTCATTGTTTTTCACAACGTAATAGTTATGAGGCAGCGGATTATTATTAAAACTGATGCCAGAAAGTTTTTCTTTACCTTGCTTTACTTGATCACTATTAATAACTTTACACATCAGGACACACGTCATGTTCCGACATATTCGAGAACTTGGCCATGATTTTCCCTGTTTAGCAAAAGATAAAGCAACATCTATGTCACTGCTAAGATACGTTCCTGAACCATAAAGAGCTCTTGTATTGAGATGTCCAACCAAACCATTCTGCAAGATACTGAAGACATTTTCAGTATGCGTCCCATGAAATCCAATCAAATTCCCATGGGTTTCTGTTAAGTCTTCAAATTTTGAAGACATTCTAGGATTTTTCAATTTTACTATAAACTGTGGAGATTGCTTTACATTTGATAACCCACTGAAGTCAAGAAAAAATTTCTTATCAAAAGGTTTCACTTCAAGCTTTTCAGCTAACAAGGTTATCCAGTCAATAAAATTGAGGCTTTCAGCAGAGTTAACCATTGAACGAATGGGAGGGAAACGAATTTGATCATGACAATTTACCAGCTGTTCAACGGATGCCACAAAATTTGGTAAAGGCTTCAACAATGATTCCCCTTTAAATGATTTTAAGGATGCAAACAATATGGATAGAATAAAATCGATGGCATAATCATGGTCTTTATCTTTGGTAGCTTGAGGGTTAGATGAAGATGGTTGCTGCATGGAACACTGGCACCGAGTTTTAAACCATACCTGATAAAATAAAAGTTCTAACAATGTAGTTGCTTATGTTTAAAATACAAACAGGGTATAATGTCCTTATTTTACTCTCTGATAAGAGATGCAAAAATTTAGATAATCATGAATTATTAATTGTTGTAATAGCATTGTTCTAATTCTTCTATACATTTATCACCTAAATACTAAAAAATAATCATTTTCCTTAAAAGTTCCAGCTATTTAAAAATTTGACCTTTTTTTTTTGAAACATGTTGTTGACAGTTGATGGTCAAATATGGATGATCAAACTGAATTGACTAGCATTGATACCAAATTGGCAAAGGCACATATCTAAATCTAGTAAGTTTAAAAGTTTTGATAAATCCAGCTGCAGAAAGGGTTACAAGGAAGTGAATCATAATTTATTTCCATTAGAATCTGTCTTCACTGAGTCTATTCAGAAACAATCAGAAATTTGAATAAAAGAACTATCAAATCATGAGACTCAAAAACACTACACGAATCCACCAGAAGTGAATCATGTTAATCTTGAAATTGACCATTTCTCCTATCCTTGACCTTAATAATGAATCAATAACATCTAAATAACTCTTCAATCTAACTACCAGTATAAATATTATGTTACAGCATCATAATTTTGGGCTACAATTATCAATTAAACATGCTATTCATAATTCGTTCACTTTTAGTCATCATATAACAAGCAAATGGCATTTTTTGATATCAGGGTTTTACACCCCGGAGCCAAATCCAACGCAAATCACAACACCCCAGCAAAGATTTACAATAAGCATGAGAGAGAGAAAGAAAGGAAATATGGAGACCGCTGTGTACATATCGAAAAAGGAACCTGCAATGGCCTTGTATTCTCGACCACCGGAGGTATGGGCCCACAGGCTACCATGTTCCTTAAACGAGTGGCAACACTTCTGGCAGCCAAGACCAGCCAGGACAAAAGCCTCATCTTGGCAAATCTAAGACATCGTTTGCGATTTGAGCTACTTAAAACAGTTTTGATTGCAGTGAGAGGACACAGAGGACGGTATTATGAGAAAGCAATACCTGTTGACGAACTGGACCTAAATCTCGCACACACCACCAGCGATGAAGACAGGGTTGATGATGTTGATGATGAAGATGAGGAAGTTGATGATGAGGTTGATTAGATTAGATTAGATTACGAATAATGACATAAGTTTAGCTCTTACTAGTCCCCTGCTACACGGCATGTAAACAGGGATTGGCTAGTTAGAGGCGGTCCGTGTAGGCCTTACACTGTGCTTTCAGCAATACTCATAAACATCATCACTAGTTTTAAACATTCTTTCTGATTTCCTCATTATCAGAACTGTGAACATTTCACAGCCTTCGTCATTAAAAAACAAACAAATTCTATAACTAACATAATTGTCATAATTTATTTACATATTATAGTAGAAATTAAATTAATAAGTTTTTAAAAAAGTTTAAAATGTTAAAAAACCGTTAATAAAAAAATTAGATAAAAACAAATTCATGAGATATTTATTCCCTTTCTCTTGGCAACACACGGGTTTTTATATAGATATTGAACTTGTTGCTTCTTCTTTTCGATATAATTTACACCCTCTATTTTTGCTAAAACTATATTTGACACTTCCCAAAAGTTGCCTGTGTCTACTAAATTATTAGTCTTTCTAAATTCTTCTAGATTAATTTTAAAATCAATAACAGACACTGAATTTCTAACAAATGATCGTAATTTATTCCAAAAGCTGATAACAAGCTCTGATAAAAAATTATTAGACAAGGTTTTAATATTTCTATCAATATTGTTAGATTTAGTGCTAACAATTTTATCTCCCGATCTACTTAAATTGAAAATGTCTTTTCCATACTCAACCAATCCATTTACAATTTTGTAGGCTTCAATCAAATCTCCTCTAACCCGTCTCTCTGCGAGTGTTGTAATCTGTAAGGCATCCAACCTTTCACTGTAAGGAAGTGTTCCAATATCATCAATAAGGCGTGTGAACCTTCTCTGGACATTTTCCAGTTCAATGATAGTAGCCCAATTCCCATGGCAGGCAGGTGGAGACCACAACTGAGCACAATACTCCAAGTGGGGTCTTATTATAGTTTTATAAACATTTCTCATAACGTTAATTTCTCTTATAATGAGATTCCTTGTAACCCATGCAATCATACTGTTTGCTTTACTGATACAACTTTTAATATGTTTCGACCATTTCAAATCTGAAGAAGTTAAAACTCCAAGATCTTTCTCTGCTTCAATACATTCAAGTGTAACACCACTAAATACATATTCTTGAAGGGGATTTTCATTAAATGGAACATGCATTATTTTGCATTTGCTAGGATTAAACTTTAACAGCCACACATTTTGCCAGTTTTGCAAGCTTTCTAACATATTGAAAGTGCTTTCAGTGTCATTGGCATCCATAATAACTTTAAGATCATCTGCAAACAGTTTAGATATACCATTAATACAATCAGGCAAGTCATTGATAAAAATGACAAACAATAAAGGACCCAAAACAGACCCTTGTGGGACGCCTGATAAAACATCACGAAGGTAGGAATATGCTCCACCAACGAATGTCTTAAAGGATGAGGGGACCTTAGAAAAAGTTTTTTTCTCGTGCAAATCCTTTTATTACATTACGGGTATTTGCCTCACAGAATGGCCAAAAAAAAGGAAGGTCTCTCAAAGTCACAAAACACACTTTATTCCAGTTTTTATCTCATAAGAAGCTAAGTTGACACTCATATTTTTCTTCCCGGGGGTTCATTTAATCTCATAACCATTTTTTCTTTGAGAAAAATTGGCCGGAAAATCTTCCTCCAAAAAAACATGCCTCACAGAATGGCCAAATCTGAATTTCTATAATTTTGTTGATGGAGATACTTTTTAAATTTCTATCACCACACGTTCTTAGAAAGCCTATTAAGGAATGAGGTAATAACCTAAAACTCACGAAAAAACTGAGCTGTGAAAAATTATTTCACAAAAAAGAAAAAATGCCTGACAAAATGGCAAAAAAAAAAGAAAACGAGAAAATTTTATTTTTCTAAAACCTTTGGCTCTTGTTTCAGGCATGCTGCTGGTATTAATATGCCTTGTTAACACCCCCATATAGGTGAAATTTCTTAGAACTGAATAAAAAGGGCATAATTTCCTACACCAAAAATGGCCATTTTGTGTGGCGTTGTTCATATTCCCTGATTTCATGATTTATAACCTTCATTCGGCTGTAAAAACACTCCATCTGGGGTGTTATTGTATGATAAATAGCTTGTGAATACTTTAGACTTATGGTTTCATTGAATAAAAGGAGTTTTAAATTTTGGCCATTTTGTGAGGCATATTTTGGCCATTTTGTGAGGCGTTTAGCCATTTTAACATTTTGTTTCTTCCTAAATTGAACAATGTTCGTTTTGTTTGATGAATACTATTCTTTAAACATCTTCTGTCATACTGGTGCCAGAAGTTCTCACCAAAATGCAAACTTAGTTCAAAAATTTGAAAACAAATTTTGTGAGGCATATTTTGGCCATTTTGTGAGGCGTGTAGCCATTTTAGCATTTTTTTCTTCCTATATTGAACAATGTTCGTTTTGTTTGATGAATACTATTCTTTGAACATCTTCTGTCATACTGGTGCCAGAAGTTCTCACCAAAATGTAAACTTAGTTCAAAAATTTGAAAACAAATTTTTCAGTGCTCAAAATTTCTACATAAACAGTCATATTTATGCCAGAAAATGTGGTCCTAGTTAATGATTTCACCACAGGAAGTGTTGCCAGAAGACTTTTGTTTCATATGGTATCCACAAAACCTACCAGTATTTTATAAAAAATTAGTTACAAAAACATTTACAAATTTGGCCATTCTGTGAGGCTAGCCATTCTGTGAGGCATTTACCCGTAATCGTATAAACCACTTTAGTGAAATCCGCAAAGTTGTATTTCATTCGCGCGCCGAGATATCCAGCCAAAACAATTTGAACCTGTGACGTCAATTATGTGAGTTGCTCTGATCCGCGCATATAGAAATACAGGTAAAATGAGCATGCGGGCCGACTAAATTACTAATTAAGAATAAATTAACAATTTATGATACTAACGAGCCTTTAACCAATGGAGAGGAGACTTTTTATGACCGGTTGAAAAAAGAATTATCACCCTACGATAACCATGAGCCGAGATACACCTGGAATAAGATTGAAGTCACACAGAAAGGCATGTAAATTATGTATATTTATAGCTCCCAACGTAACACCTAGCAACTCCCTGTTTCGTACCACAGTTGATATATCAACATGTCATATCAACACAACACGGTCCTAATAAAAATGGATCGGGTAGGTATGAAATGCATGTCTTCATTCCAGTTGGACAAGCACCAAGCACCAAGCTTTTAAGTTCTAACTCACTATGTGACACTACTTATAACGTAAGCAAGATTTGCAACTATTACACCAAGCAATATTATACCAAGCATAGCAGACGAACACATCCACATTCGTTACGCTTTACACTCAAGTCACAGCAAACTAAAACGGTAAATTATAAATGAGTGTACAACTAAAGGCCGGTCGCACTCAGATAGGACTAGAGGCGCCAAGGGCCAGCTAGTAAAATGTCTTCTACTACATCATACATTCTTTTTAATTGTGTCCATATCGGGTTTCAAACAAGTCAAAACAAAATAGCAGTTTGTGGTTTAGTTAGCGGATGCTACTTATCTTTGCTATTTATAAATAGAAATACCTACTACAACTACAAGAAAGCCTTTCTGAGTTACATTTAACTATTATTATTAAAGAGAATTATTCGTAACTTAGACTAATTCAGTGCAACCAAAGATACCGCTCTCGCAAACGCCAAAGGTAACACGACGTAATTAAAACAGAACAGAACAAAATGTTGACACGAGCAAAGGGTGCGCGCGCACGTTGGTCTTAACACATAAGTGACGTCACAGCCCAAAATTGCTATCAGCCAATAGGAGCGCTGAGTGATATTGCACGAATTATCGATTTCACAGTACGGCGTATTTTTTGATTCTACACACTTTCACAGGACTTAAACGCGAATATTTGGAAGTAAATTCTAAGGTCCCCTCATCCTTTAAATCTTCTTCCAGATAAAAAGTCTTTCACAATATCTAAAGTGTTACCACTTATACCCAAATTTCTCATTTTTGTAAGTAGTCTATGATGTGGAACACTATCAAATGCTTTACAAAAATCTAAGTAAAACACATCTACGGGTGCACCATCCTCTAACAGTTCGATGATACATTCTACACTCTCTAATAGATTAGATAAACAAGATTTACCTTCTACAAATCCATGCTGGTTTGGATTTATCTTCTTACTAACAAAACTCATAATATGCCTCCTTACTAATTTTTCATATAATTTACATAAAATGCATGTAAGTGACACTGGCCTGTAATTTAGGGCATCTTTCCGACTACCCTTTTTATAAAGAGATGTAACATTTGCTGTCTTCCACTGTTCTGGAATTTTTCCACTCGAAGCACATGTTTGAAATAATTTAGTCACAGCAGAAACAAAACTTGAATTATGTTCAAGTTCTTTTAATAATTTAGGATGAATGCCATCTGGCCCTTTACTTTTACTAATATTAATTCTTTTCAGTTCTCTGCCAACATCATCCATTGTTATCTCAATATTTTCAATGTTTAACTCATCCGCAATAAAATAACATTCTCTGTTCAAAGGTCCATCTGGTTCTTTGACAAAAACTGAAGCAAAAGCATCAGCCAATACTTCGGCAGTTTCAAAATTACTTTTGGTCAAAGATCCGTCCGGTTTTTCCAGGGATGATACACAACTTTTTAACACTCTTTTCCCTCTTAAATATGCATAAAATGGCTTCGTATTATATTTCATACACTGTGTAATTTTTCTTTCATAATTAACTTTACATTTAAATGACTTACTATCAAACTGTCCTTGTTGGTTCAGTGCAACATTAAGATTTTCAGAAGAAGGATTATTATCAAAAATATACCAACATTTATCTGTATTTTTCCTGCATCTTTTTAAGGATGAGTTTGCCCAAGGCTCACATTTAAAGTTCTTTTCCGTCGGAACTATATCAGATACTAAGTTAAGCTTTGAGTGTAACTCACTCCACATATCTTCAGAAGTTAAAGGAAGAGGTTTCAGAAGAGTGAGCTAAAAAGAAGACAAGATTCTATTCTAATTTATTGATTATTATATTTATTGAAATAAACCTATAATATCCATTAATCCAGGAGTGATGACAGGATATATAACAAGCAAAAACGTCACGATGAGTTTGTAGAACTAATTACAACACTACAAATCTATTACATTTATTGAGGACCCCTAGTGGGACATTACACCTAAATAGAATGTAAACTACAATTGCAGAAAACTCAATAAGTAGAGCTGTTTGTGTAATGTGTAGGATCCAACCAGTAAACCCACCTGATGGGAATTCCCACCAGGCCACACCAGTTGTAGTTGAGAAATTTACTACCACTATCATGCCAAAGGTAGCACACTCAAGAATCCTATGATGGAGTCAATCTAGTGTATATCTAGTGCACATTCAAGGCACATTCAAGGACATTCAAGACACAAAGCAAGAAAAAGGAAGGAGAGATACTGCGATGTAGTAAAACATGTGAGAACAAGGATAAGATGTGCATATTTTGCAATGTTGAGAACAACTCTTATTGCTCTACGAGGGTATCGAGGAAATAAGGTGGACACCAAACATGAGATTCATCTATCAGAAGTCTCATACAACCTCATCCCGGCCCCTATAATGTGGTAGATCATGTGTTTTGTAAACATTTAAAAAATTATTGGTAGCAATGTATTGTGCTCTGCCAATTGCAACACTTAAAATTTGATTGTGCTCTGCTAATTGCATCACTTGATTTAATTGAATTTATATATACTGTTTGACACATTTTTCATTTCAAGACACATAATAGCATGGACACTTTCGTTTACTTGGAGTACATAATAGACGAACGCAAAGGTCCTGAAAACCGAGGTTGTGACCATGAAGGAAGTTTGTAATGTTTGTGTTTGGTGTTGTCAATGCGTTTATCATTGCGATGGAAAAAGGGGATTTATACTTACATTAATGAACAAGTGTTAAATGTTGTATGGGCATTTTGTGATTAATAAGCATTAAAACACAAGCCATCATGTGCCAATTAGCAGTATGAGTAAGGTGCAGCTCATTAGGACCACTGGGCCAAACGGCGAAAAACCAAAGCTCTAACCACAAACCAGAGCCCTTGCGCTTGTTGATACATGTTTCGTATCCCTTCGGCGCGCTTCGTATCGCTTCGCGCGCGAAAAGTGGCATGCAACGTATGTCAATGCGCTTGTAGTATACATCTTTCACCTAACCATGTGCTTTCGCGCCACTGCAAGCGCAAGGGCTCTGGATAGAGCAATATATAGCTTGACAGATATATGTTACTCGTCTAAATTTCTTCGAAGTAGCGCGGGCAGGGCTAAAAGTCTATTAACATGACAATGAATAATATGTAGCGAGCGCCCACCGAAACAAGCACGTCTTGTATTATCTATTGTTAAATATTATAGCCAGAGCACAGAGGCTAATATTTCCAATTTCGAGAAGAAATCGGCGCGCGCTACTTCGAAGAAATTATTATACGAGCTTAACATCCGTCAAGTCATATGTATTGATTCATTGTCATACGTTGTATGACCCGCCGCGCACGAGTGCGCGGCTCCCCCTGTATCGTCAAGTGAAACGACCGTGGGGGTCGCAACGTGATACAATTGATTCACGATTGACGATGTCGCAATCCTTCTCAGCTCGTATCGGCGAGGTCCGGAGGTCAAGCGGTGCATCTCGCCGATCTAAGCTACAGTTGCAAGGAGAATTGTTTGATGCGCGGCGCGGCCCAGTAGTGCATTACGCTACAACTATCTCGTCAGCGAGCATACGATAATGTGCGCGGCGATGGCCTCTACCTGTAAGTCAAAGCTCTCAATATATTACAAAGCAACCCAGGTTTGTCAGTTTTACTCGCGTCAGTACAGCAGAATGCTAATTTTTGTGGTCAACGGGTGATTGATACTCGCACCTGTTCACTGTTACTTCCAAAGACTGTAGAGCTCTGAGCTAGTGTCGATTAAAAGTCTAATTCGACTTGGTAGGTTATTAATTTACAATTGCGTAACTTTGAACTTGCAGCGCGAACGTGTCACGTGGTGTGACATCTACAAGTTGTAAAACATAATTTAGCTATGTTTATATTGCCTATATGCTATAGAGATGTGCATTAACTAGCTATACTAGGTATTGCTCGCTACTCTCACGTACAATGAGAGAAGCTCGAAAAGAGAGCCGCGCATTGATGATTGAGATTGGCATGCCAGGTTGCCCTAACCAGAGCCCTCTCGCTTGCAGTAGCGTCACGCAGTACGCGTAGACTCATGGCTAGGTGACCGTGAACGTGTTTAAGTGTGTATCGAAATTAGAAATGAAAAGGCCAAAATTACACGAAAGTATTTGAACTTGAAAATGGAAAACAAGATGAGTGGCTTATTTGAAAACAAAATAGAAGTTAACCGTCCACATATGAAATGACTTCAGACTTAAATGTAATAAAGCAATATCCCATTTTCCAATTTTAAGCGTTTCGGTGAGTCAGGCGCCGCGCTAGCCCGATGGAGCTGAGAATTTAAAAATAAAATGTTAAATTAGTTAACTCTGGCATTTTCATGCAATAACAGCAGAATCCTGCTATGTCATATGTATATAAATATATTTATATAAAGTTAAAAATAACATATCGGTGTCAATGGTCAAATATTTGGAAAAGTCTATAAGAAAAGCGGATTCATTTATCTAATAGGTTAGCAACCAAATTGGTTAAGTAACTTTAAACTAGTTCTATAAATAATTGATTGTCTGTGTCAGTGTGTCATTCCTATAAATATTTAATTTAAGAAGACCCAAGCACTAAGGTTAGTGATATTATGTCAGTTTGAGTCACAGTCTTGTGTACTCTCATTCGGGCCAGCCCGTAGATTTTCTTTCACTTCCAATTGTTCTGTAAGTTCAACCTCTTCAAAAATCGTGCTCAATTTTGCAGCTGCTAAAATAGAACTCGGACGCTTTATAGGGCTTAAAGAAGCAACTGATGACGATTGGTCGATATATTCGTGGCTTTTATCTTCACTCTCAACAAAAGAAGTCTCCGCTTCCTCGCCATCATTGTGAATGTGATCTGAAGTGTCACTAAAGCTCTTCAACTCAACGTAACTACCGTCCATAGGAACAAAGTTTGGGTTCACATAAACGGACACTCTGTGTTTGTTAGGTACAGCTGGAGGTGGTCTTCTTGGAAAATTACGAGAGTTATCGAAAGAGAAGGAAGTTTCCACAAAAGGAGATGCAGGACTAATCTCACAATCTTCACTGTCACTCGAAGATCCAATAAGAGCTGTTTGAGATCCGGACCACACAGAGTAACTACTGACAACTAACGACGACTCAGACCGTCCTAAAGAGTAGGCAGCATTGTTAACAAGACCTCTTGCTAGAGATGATCCTCCGGCTAGAGATGATCCTCCAACTGAGCTAGCAGCAGAGGAGGGGTTCAGGAATAAACCAACGGAACTGTCAGTGTCGGAGGTCTCGCTGTAGCTCGAGTTGAGGGTGAAGCTGCCTTTATGAACTCTCGGACGAGGCATCGGCTCCAGTTCCCAGGGTTGTGGGTCTTCATCTCCGATATATTCCGCCATCAACGTGAACTGAAAAATTTAATTACATTCAGATAATCTGTGGAAGCATTCTGTCAAAGTTAACAAGTTCTTGCATAAGAATAAAAAACAAAAATGTTAATTTTTAAGTTGACCCATATAGATTCAATCAACGAATAAAACGAGGGTCTTTTTGATGAGCAAACAGTTTTTACCTCTGGATCCTTCCGGCGGCGCCTGATGAAACACCAAGTGAGAAAAATAATGACAGGGGTAGCAACAATACAACACGCCAGGACAATGAGTAGAATCTTTTCCAGGTCATTTTTCTTAGGTGGTGGGTTAGTTGTCTTGAAGGGATCTGAAATGAGGAATTGTGGTGTTGTCGAAATTAACTGCAATTATTGTAATCAGATGGACAGTGTGGGCAATTTTAAAAACAATTCTATCATTTTAGAAAATAGATGTTGGTAGTCGGTGTTGCCCCCATCCCCCCGGCCCCCCAGACTAACAGACTTACTTGACTCTAAAATGCGAGTTGTTGTGATCATCATGGAGGTTGTCTCCTCCGGTAATATTGTCGAGTCAGTCAATCTCACCATCTTTGGTGAAGTGAAGTGGGATTTGTGGTCATTAAACCACTGAACGGGAAGAGCCCCAAGTTCGGCACAACTGGGGGCAATCTTTACGATACGATTGCTGAATGAATAAGATGATAATAATAAGTAATTCATGTCTACATGTTTTGAGATTCACCGTATTTTGTTCGCCTATTAGAACTGGGCAACATTCAACAATGAAGGATTTTGTAAAACTTAGTTCCGCCATTAATGGTTATGATGCACAGAACAGCGCTATATATATACTATTCATATTGCCCGAAACGGTTAAAACAGGATTTTTAACCGTGGTTTTTAGCCGGGGTACACTACAATTTGTTACACTATTTTTACACTTTTTAGGCTATTTTACACACAACTTTTTTTGTACCCCCCCCCCCCCTCCCCCGAATATATATAATTAAGATGGAGAGGGGGGAGGGTACTCTCTTCTGGCATGTTCACCGAACTTGTGAAAATTTGGGCTCCGTCCATAAGAATAAAAACATATATTTGAAAATTTATAAAAACAATGGGACATACTAATTTCTTAAACAGAACCACGCCGAGTTGTTCACTTCAAGAGTTGTACCCTGTAACGCTCTCAAATCGAAGCTATTTAACAGCGACTTCGAGTCTGGGAAGTTCCTTCTGTAAACATAATCTCCGATAAAATTCCGAACACAACGAAACACTCCGAGCAATTTTCCGCATCGCACCTCATCCTGAAACATACAATTACAAGATGTACAAAATCTACAATCACAAGATTTAATTTTAGCGAAACATAAACCAACGAACAAGGTTAGTTGAGCACAACGCTCCAAGTGGATGATTGTGCAATTATGGCATTGACGGCACCTACCAGGAAGGATATTCTCTGATTCTTATATAACAGATTCCAGTATATCCCTTCAGCGTCCAGACAAGATCTGACCACTTTTCGGAGTTTCTTTTTGTAGCAATTGCTGGGCGAGCTACAACCTGAGATAGCAAAAGTTACATTTGTATCAAATCTCTCTGGAGTTAACAGATACGAAGTGCAAATCATCTGCATGCATTTAATCAAAGAAATGAGAACATGTGTTTCATGCAGGGATGCTGTTTCATGCAGGAATGCTGTACCATGGGTGAAAAATTCATAAATGCTAAAAATGATGTAGTGGTTCAACTTCAGTTTATTGGAGTTTACATAGGTGAAGCCGAAACAAAAACAAATTTCTAGGTCGTGCAAATTATATTTTATTCGAGTAAAAGAAGAAGTGTACCATATTTTTTCGTTGACGTTTATAAAACCAAGGTCATGCAATCTATTCAAGTTAATTAAAGAAGCAACAAGATAAAGTTTCTAAATAAATTATAAAATACCATGGAAATATATAGTGATATAAATTGTCAGAACAAACGGAACTTGTTGCTGCCATGTGCATTAAACACTATTGCATATTGGAAGGTATCTTTGGAAAACCCAAACTATGATCACAACTAAGCAGCACAGTCAGGACGTTCTGGTTCAAAACATTTATCTTAATTTAACCCATTTAAGCAACTGGTATGCAGGCCGTGAGTTTTAAGTCATTCCTAACGAATTCAGTTATAAACATCGATAAGTTTAGACACGGATTTCGAACGAGCGAAGACTCACCAAAATCAAAGTTTCTCCAATTCAAAATGGTACTAATGTTTTTCTTGAGAGCATCTTTTTGGTCGATAAGCTTTTGCACTAAATGATCAGCATGAAATGAACGATCTTCCTGCTGAAAATGACCAGCCATATGCTTCACTAGGGGACAGTTCCACTGGTAAACGATGCAGTTCAAGCAAAGGTCGACTAAATCAACCTCTTGGGGAATCCTATGACAATGAATGTGGCAGTTTTGGATAGTAAGGTAGCGGGAATATGTGGTGAGACAGTTGGCAACTTTGTTGCCCATTACTCCCTTACCGCTATTAGTAGGATTGGCACATTTTTGATGACACATCAAATTAGAAATCTCTTTTCGTATCGTTAGTCCTCTTTTATCGACTTTTCTGATGGATCCCACAAAATCATCCATAGAACCGATTTTAAACAATTTCCTTTTATTTCTAATTTGCTCACACCCAATTTCATCGACGAAATTATTGACATCAAAATTTCCCTGGTATACGTTGAAGTCATAGATAAACCCTTCAAACGAACGCAAATGCATCACACCGATGTCCTGGATGAAACCATCGTTGAGGTCACAGCCGATGGTGAAGAATATCGGAAAGTAAATGGTCCTGTAAATCCGTTTAAATGCTGACATCAGTTGCCCTTTTGAGAGGTGTATGTCTATGTCACTTGTTCCCCTCGGTTCGAGAGGTTTAAGAGGTCCATACTGCTCAGTCCTGGATGTGTAAAAGAATGAACGGCCCTAATTAAATCAGCCTGTCAAATAAATCAAATCAAATCAAATGTGCAATCAAATCAAATGTGCAGCAAAATCCCGTAACACTTACAATTGGCTCGTTACATTATTTTGGGTAACTTAGTCACATGACAATTACAACATGCCATGCAATTATTTCCCACCACTGCAACTGATCACAGCAAACACGTTTGTAAGAGTACCAAGTGTTTTTAATGATCAGTTTGTACTTATGAGGGGTCGTTCACATACTACGTCATCAGCCAGGGGCCGCGGGGAGGGGGTTTCCAAAATTTCATACGTGCACACCAACTGTGGATCACATTTTGCTAAGTACACTAACTGTGTACTGTTCACTGGATATACTAACTATGTATCTAACCTGATTAGATATACAGTTAGTATATCCAGTGAACAGTAATCACTCTTATTTAATAAATATAAGTATTACACTTTTACATTTGTTGCTAAATTGTAGCTCTGTTATCACTTATCGCTTAGCTATCTCTGTTAAATCCGACACGGCTTGTTTAACCGCCACAGTCTTACCTTGTATACACATGTTACTTAATCATAATTGAAGGGTTTGGTTGGTAAACCAGGATTTAACGGTATCTTGCACACACGTTCGGCCCCTCAACATTTATCTTAATTAACCATTAAACGAACTGTATGCGGCCGTAGTTTAAGTCTTCCTACGAATTCAGTTATAACATCGATAAGTTAGACACGATTTCGACGAGCGAAGCTCAACCAAATCAAGATTTCTCCAATCATAAATGTACTAATTTTTTCTTGAGAGCACTTTGGTCGATAACTTGCCTAAATATCAGCATGAAATGATATCTCCTGCTGAAAATGACCAGCCATTGCTCACTAGGACGTTCCACTGGACAACGATGCAGTTCAAGCAAAGTCGACTAATCACTCTTGGGGCAATCCTATGACAATGAACCTGTCAGTTATTGATGGAGGTAGATATGTGTGACATTGCAACTTTGTTGCCCATTACAGACCTATTCGCGATAGTAGATTGGCACATTTTTGTTGACACATCAAATTAGAAATCTCTTTCGGTATAGTTAGTCCTCTTATCGACTTTCTGATGGTCCCCAAAATCATCCATGAACCGATTTTAAACAATGTTCCTTTTGTTCTAAGTTGCTCACACCCATTCATCGACGAAATTTTGACTTTCAAAATTTCCCTGTATAAGTTGAAGTCATAGAAAACCCTTCAAACGAACGCAAATGCTCACACCGATTGTCCTGATAACCACGTGAGGTCACAGCCGATGAGAATATCGGAAAGTAATTTCCTGTAAATCCGTTTAAATGCTGACAATCATTGCCCTTGAGAGGTGTATGTCTAAGTCACTTGTTCCCCTCGTCAGAGGTTTAAGAGGTCCATACTGCTCAGTCCTGGATGGTGTAAAAGAATGAACGGCCCTAAATAAATCAGCCTGTCAAATAAATCAAATCAAATCAAATGTGGCAATCATATCAAATTGTGCAGCAAAATCCCGTAACACTTACAATTGGCTCGTTACATTATTTTGGGTAACTTAGTCACATGACAATTACAACATGCCATGCAATTATTTCCCACCACTGCAACTGATCACAGCAAACACGTTTGTAAGAGTACCAAGTGTTTTTAATGATCAGTTTGTACTTATGAGGGGTCGTTCACATACTACGTCATCAGCCAGGGGCCGCGGGGAGGGGGTTTCCAAAATTTCATACGTGCACACCAACTGTGGATCACATTTTGTACACTATCTGTGTACTGTTCACTGGATATACTAACTATGTATCTAACCTGATTAGATATACAGTTAGTATATCCAGTGAACAGTAATCACTCTTATTTAATAAATATAAGTAATTACACTTTTACATTTGTTGCTAAATTGTAGCTCTGTTATCACTTATCGCTTAGCTTATCTCTGTTTAATATCCGACACAGCTTGTTTAACCGCCACAGTCTTACCTTGTAATACAAAGTGAATTACTTAATATAATTGATAGCGGGTTTGTGGAAGCGCTAACATGGATTTAATGGTTTATCTGCTGGCTACATCGTATCGAGCTTTCTTTCAGACATTTTGTATCTATATGGAGTATAGACGGAGTGACGTCTGGTCCTTATTCGGTTTCCGGTGTGATCACGTCTCATCATGTTGAATACTCAGCGGAACCTGGAGACTCACGTAGATTTTCCAAACCTTTAATTTGCAATCTCTGTAATCTACTCCGGAGCTGAACGTCCTTCCAAAACTAGATTTCTAGCCAGAGTTGCACAACGAGCTAGAGCCCACGCCTCAGGATCAGCTCACCACCACTCCGAAGCTGCTACCTCTTTGTGCTACCTCCCAACCTGACCCTTAGAGAGGAGGAATTCGTCTGCTTCGACGGCAGTACAGACAAGGGATCTATATATGAAGAATCTTTTGATCTTGATATTGATTGTGGTATAATAGTGCTAGATTTCGAGCGTGCTTCCGTGAATGCTTTCACACTGGTGTTTGATCAGTGAATGACCGACGTGAATTACAATATCCACCTCCTACTTGACGCTGTTAAAGCATACATGGCTTTGAAGGACTTGAGATAGCTGAAGATAGCTGAACGAAGGATGAGTCTCGCAGGTCTTCTAGCCAGACGTGAAGAACTTCTGAGTCATCAACTTCTCTTCTGGGAACCCCTTCAAGGACATCGTCGAAGGGGAAGACCACACCTTACATATATTGACATCCTTCGGAAGGACAGCAAGGAGATTAACAAACTCCTGCTGGATAGACAGATTTGGAAAAAACTATCTCTGTTAGGACGTTTAAGCCGCCCTAAGTCGAAGTAAGTCGAAGTCGAGGACTTGAAGCTTGACGAAACTCTTAATTGTTATCGATGAGGCCAATTTCCTGTTTATTTGACGTATGATGTAATACGAAGTGTTTGTTTTGATTTTAAACCTGGTGAAGTAACCAACCATGAATATTCTAGCTCTGCAGCAATGCATTCAAGAAGGCCGAGTCGACAAAATTGCTTCAGGCTGAGCTTATTTGCGAATCATCAGGTACGTATCTTGTTAGGCGTTGCACCCAGGGGCCCGCTAGTCCAATTCATGTAGTTCATAATAAGAATGGTTGGGAGTGTACTGCACCTCTTTGTCGTGATTTCTACAACTTCAACAGCGGTAGCTTAAATCCAGGTTTTTTGTGTCAACACGTAGCTTGTGTAAACCGCAACCTTAATGTTCAGCCTGATTAGATAATGTCCTAACATATGATAGTTTTGGTGATGATGATAAGAACCTCATATTGGCTTTTTGTAAAATAGCGAAGGATTTCGGTCTTCCAGTAATGAAGCAGCACATTCCCACTATGGTAGATATATACAGTACTTCTCGATATATCTACTATAGTGTGTTTGCTGGTGATGAGAAGCCGAAATACTATAGCAAGTTATGATCGCTGTAGTAAAACACATAAATGTGATTGTGGTATTAAATCTTGTCTTCATCGAAAAGTTGCTGGTCTTGCATCAGAGATTAATCCGCTTATGGGTGAGTCACGCCCCGAGGATGACAGTGACCCCAATGAACTCATGTTCGCAGAATCGATGATGCAATATGTCCTAAAGAACAAAGTCATTCCCTTTGACGTGACTGAATTTAAGAATCAATCACCAAACATGTAGAAAATTTTCTTAAATCTGGTCATGCTGATGAGATAAATAGAATAAGTTACTTCATTTTCATTGCTAGTTCTGTAAGACATATTCGTGCCGTGATTTGAGAGAGTTGTCGCTCATATATTAAAATGCTCTTCCGGTCGAAGTTTCATAACAGCTCCCTGCTCCATCTTCTTTTGAACAAGTCAATTCTGCAAAGTCCTCGGCTCATGCACCGGACATCAGTAATGAGTCAAGCGGTACAATTTAAATATGTAGTTCTACCACTATGCAATATGAATACATCAATGTTCAAACAGTATATTAAGTATTTGATCTGTATTATCTCAGTGGTTTAGCTTATGATAAGAAATATTGGCAAAAATTACAATGAAGTTTTTGATATTTAGTTATTTGTTTTAGGGAAAGATTGGAATTTGTTTTTAACTATCCCTTGTTTAGAACTTTTATTTAATAATAAAGTATTGAAATTGAATGCAGTACCGATTTAATAACTTTAATCTCTCCATAATACGAGTTACTAATTCTTGAATTTGTTTCAATATAACAAGTATCAACTCAAGTTTTAAATAATAATTAATACTGTGTGTTTCTTGTGTCTTCGTCAACATTTATAAGTATAATCAATAACTATAACAGCACCTCAAAAATTAGGCCTTGATTACGTAATATTGCTGTCAGGAGAGGTTGGGTCTTGATTACGGTTCATTAGTATTACAGAGGGGGAGGTGGTAAGAATTGCCAAAAATTGATCACGTAGGTAATATGTTAACGACCCCTATACTAAGGGGAGCATTTTTTACCTTAACCTACTATAACGTTATCACACAAAACAATGTAATCTTACCTCGCAAAGACTTCGATAGGAAACTCCTGCGCCCATTTACCAATGAAAATATCCCCTAACTGTGACGAATTGAAAGAGATTTTCACACATGTAAGATGGTAGTTAGAGTTGGCGTCAGGTAAAGCCCAGAGTGGTTTAGCTGGTTCAGGTGGAAGGTAGTAGCTGTTCTCAAGAAATCTCGTCCCTTTTCCCTTACTGTTCGATATAGAACCCCTTTAAAGGAGTGACAGTTAATTTCCTTACGCTGAATACTAAAAACTGTGTAACATTTAAAACTGGAAAGGATTCTTTCAGCAAATTTAATTTAGAGGGGAAATGTAAACACTATACATAGGTTGGGGCTTATTTTTCAGTCACTGAGTGCCCGATTGAAACAATTCTGTCTGGTATGACTTGCTATTATCACTCAATCTCATTCGGGGAATGCATGGTTATTGGTCATGTTATAACCCCCCCCCCCCCCCTGTAATCTGTATGTTTACAAAAGCATACCTCACTAATAGCCATTTCTTTTGCTCGTCTTGTTTTTCTATGACGGTAAAGGTCATGTCTTCAAGGTGTACCGTCGCTAAACAAACCGGGAATCTAAGTAAATATTTGTAGAAATACGGGGGTGATGCAACGTCAATTAATGTCAATTAATGTCAATTAATGTCAATTAATGTCAATTAATGTCAATGTCAGTTTTGCAAAATTTTGGAATACTGACATTAATTGACACGATATTTTTCGACCAGAGATTATGTAGTTCTACCATATTTTTAGCACTTTAGAACGTTTATATCATCAAGTTATTCACTACTATCACATATGGAAATGTGAAATGTGAAAAAAATTCAGATCATTAAACGATAAAACTAAAATAATACGGTTTTCCGAAATTTAATTTTCTTAAATGGGCGTGGCCATCCAAGGGCGTGGTTCTCAACATCATCAGAACTTAAAACCCACATTAAACGAAATGCCTTCATGACATTTATATTTGAATAACGAATCTTAAACAGCTAACATTACTCCTTCATACAAAAAAAGCCGATTCTAGATATTTTACCTGTATAAGAAACCAATAAAATATGGGCGTGGCCGGTGGGGACCGAAGATGGAAGAGTTGGAAGCTGAAATTTTTTTGGCGGAACCTAAGGATCAACAGATAAGAACATACTCATAATTATTCAAGGACATTTTGTTTTTTTGAACCGGTCTAACTTACATAGACGTGAATATCTTGAATATTTATCGAATAATGATAATCTCAAATTTCAAGACAAATTAATGTCAATTAATGTCAATTAATGTCAATTAATGTCAATTAATGTCAATGTCAGTTTGGGGTTTTTATGGAATACTGACATTAATTGACGTTGCATCACCCCCAGAAATACTGGGAAAATTGGGAATTTCCATTTCACTTTTATACTTTAAATTTAAATAATAATAATCAACATGGACACAAATTCGCTCGACCCTCGCGCACGACTCCAAATTAAAATATTCGTTTTCACCTTCCATCGTCGGTTTTCTGATATCGCATACAGAACGTAGGAGTGAGAAGACTGGAATACCCGAAGTCACGTGTCTGCTGGTTAACCACGACTTTAAGGGAAGCGGTGTCCTCTCCTGTGAAGTCGACAAAAACCCTCTTTATCGTATCTGAGTAAAAAGGAGAATACTAGTATTTGACTATTTCTCGGGTGATGAAAACGATACCAATCATACTACTATTATTATTAGTGATTATCTCATATTTTTGTTTCATTGATGGACGAGCGTACTTGACGGTCCAGGCACCAGGATCACCGAACGTCTAGTGATAGGGGGTGTGGACACACTCAGCCAACACCCCTATCTCGAAGTGATACAATTTACCCGAACAAGCAATCCAAGGATAATCGAACATAATGCGAACCAGTGCAGGAATTGATCGTCAATTGAGTTCGCCAAATAAATGTAGCTCAAATGTTCCTCTTGATCAATACTATTACTATTAGAAAACATTAAGGGGCCATCTACCGGACGTCCGGCAAATAGGAAGGGGGTGGTTTATGAAAATCCGGAAATTTTGGCTGAATTAACAAAAAAGTCCGATTAATTTCAGCTCTTTGAATTTGATTAACAATGAATTTGAGTTGGTTTTATTTGTACTCTTAAAAGTAGCTGGAAATCCGAACGTCCGGGGGAGGGGGTGGTTTTGAAAATTCGGACACACCCGGACAGGAGGAGGTCTGAAATTCTGCGATTTTGGCAGACGTCTTAAGTCTAAGTAGATGGCCCCTAACCCGGATCGGATCCATGCTCATCGTTGCATAAGGTGCAAAGATTGCATCAGGTTTTGAACAGATTTAACATCTCATTTCTGATTACTGTTACAGTTAAAGCACACGATGTACTAGTTCAGAAACAACTTTCAATCGACGAGCAGACATCCGGGTCTGGAATCAAGCTTTAAGTATCAAACTTAAACTTAAAGTATAAAAGGCTAAACAAAAAGATAACCAACCTGACTGTCCAGAGATGAGGGATATTGTAAACTTGATTGTGAGAGTCAAAAAGAACCAGATCTTGAGTAGAGACATCACTTCGTCCTGACTTCCTTAGAGCTAAAATAATAATGGTCCTGAGCTGTTTTGTGTTTGATCGCCTCAAATTTACTGGGTAACAACCATTTTGGAATTATTGGTGGCGTACAACTGCTAAGCAGATAAAAACTAGATACGGTGTAGGGTAGGGTTCTGAAGAATATATTTATTTCCATGAAGAAAGTAATCCTAACCCCTCCTTGGCATCGTTCGACTGAGTAAGAAATGGACGAGCAGTAGTGTTATGGAAACTTGCTAAACAAATACACATCGAATAAGCCGTCAGCATAAGCGGTAAACAACCGGCAGTTATGTTAACTTTAAGTTATTGCTCACGAAGTAATTTCCTAGACTGGATGAAAAGCTACCGATAGACAAGACACGTGACTTCATCCTTTTTATCGCTTAACTTTCACTATCAAACCCCGCATGATGTAAATACCAACTAATCACGCGTTTTTACCTTTAAAATTCTACATAGAGTCGGTTGTAGGGCTAGCCGCTAGGGAGCGTTCACATATTATCAAGTCGGCAGCAGAGGGGGGATTTTGAAATGCTGACGGGGGAGGTCTAAACATTGCTGACGTCAGCAAAAATACGTGAATTTTGGCAAAAATTGTTGTGTCGTATAGTTAAGGCAGGGGGGGGGGGGGGGGGGCTGCTCAATGCTGACAGTGCTGGGGATGTAATTGACCAAAGTCTTGCGACGTCATATGTTATTGTTAACGTTCCCCTGCGCACTACGAGATCAGGGTCCTAACAGTCATTATTTTTAAAGCAAATTTACTTTGATAGTTACTACAAGCTAAAGGTTATCAGAGATTTCTCTACATCGTCAATATGATATTCATATATTATACACTATACAGGACTATATCATTCAGACGAATGATATTGCAGATCTTGAATCTCAGTTTCGATTTTGTTGTAAAGATACTATGGTCATTCAAAACTCACATTCAATGTAAATTTTCTGGTGGGCCTTATTTGCACTGAAAACTGGTGTTATATGAGCTATTTCATTCGGTAACTGTACATAATGGCATAAAACCAGCTTAGAGAATGAAATACTTCCCAAACATGATAAAAAATATGGTCAATCGTCCTAATTTGTATGGGCAATTGTAGTAGATTCTGATGTGTTCATTGCAATCAAGACTACTCTGTAGTAGCATACATTAATGCTCAAAACACATACTCAACAGGGCAGACATTCCTAACACCCCCATTAGGGCCAGGGTAGTCCTACAATCTTCCAACTTAATTATCCTTATTCCGTATTCCATTAATTTGGCTATACCACCATCTTGGGGCACAATTGAAAAAGAAGTTATCCGTTGTAAGGCAAAATAGAATTAAATACAATATTTACAAAGCATCAGTAACACAGGGTACACGTGAACAAATTAAATATACGAAATAAAATGTGCTCTACTTTAACGCATAGCATTCATTTTTCAACAACATTAAAAGTTATGAGACTCGAGGTTCATTCATTTTGATCAAAATATCGGATGAAAGAAAGATTGGGATATAATTACCACGTAAAGCTAAAAGGCGCTACCGTACGTACGTGCGCGCAAAATTTCTCATAAAGTGTTGAATGCGGACACCTTATTACAGTGGAAAATGGATAGCGCCACAAATAAAACACACATTTCCGAGCGCGCAGTGGCCAACATGTATTTTATGGCAACACCGGGGAGGATATGCAGGACATTTCATCTCCCAGCGTCCTTTACACCAGAGCTGTCGTTAATGACACTCAATTTCTGATATTCCAAGGGTTTGTAATCATGTGCCATGAGACCCAACTCTCTAGCTGACTTTATACAATCACTGACGACTTGGTGTGACAGTTGACAAAGTCCTGTGGTATGAGGCCCTAACATCATCCCAGAATTCGACACAAACTGATACAAGAATGCCACATTCTTATAAGTCACATTGATATTGTTATTACACAGAACACACCCGTCAGTTTTCTTCCACACCATATCCCCCTGACACAAGTATTCTCCCTCAACGAAGGGTCTGTGAGTTGGAACCTGATTAGGATTGGGAGCAGTTTTCTTGACAGGGGTGGTTGCAACCCTCGGTACAAAACGCTCGATTGTTCCACGACCCGGCTTCTCAGAATTTGCGTCCAAGTTGGGAATCTCCAACTCTTTCACCATCCTCAAGTTTTCGGAAACTATCTTCTGTTTGTTATAGAAGACTTTGCGTTTGTCTACCGTTTCATAAATTTCACCATCTTGTATAAATCGTAGCTGTGAGAAGGTTATCCGAGAGACACCGAATTTTCGCAAACAAATCATCTTCCTTGAAGGGTAAGAGGGTTATATCTTTCATGAAGAGATTATCTTATGATTGAGATGAATTCAAAATTTGATTCAGGTCTGTTTCAGATCCCATAATTTACTGATATGAAAATGTATATCATTCATTTTTCCACATTATTATTATTATGTTCACATGTATGCCAGTATGCATGTATGTATGTATGCGTGTATGTATGTTAAGAATGACGACTCGAAAAATAAAACAAATTTGTTCAATAAATAAAAAGATTCTAAAAAATCAGATTATGCTCCAGCTTCAGCCTTAGCTTTCAACGCATTCAGTTTCTTCTTAGCCTCGAAATAAACAGCGGACTTTTCCTTTCGCTTAACCTCCAGTTTGTCGACAACATCACCGTATTTCCATCCGACTTCACGAGATATTCTGCCGACAGACGCGTACCTTCGGCCGGGTTTCAACCTGAGGACTCGCAGAGCTGAGGGGATAACCATCCTCTTGGTCTTGTCATAAGGAGCTGGGATTCCTTCGAATACCTTCAGTCTGAAAATGAGAGCAGGTCAGAAAGTCAGTCGTTACCCTTAGACTTTCTAGGTTCGAACTGTCATTTTGGAAAATCATATTGCAACCACCTTTAAATTCATCAAAAGAAAATTAAATTAAACTACAATTAAAAAATAACCTGTTAAGAGCCTCCATTCCACGTTGGGTTTTGTGAGGGATCATGCCTCTGATGGTCCTCCACAAGATCTTGCTGGGGGCTCTGAAATGGAAAGGTCCGCGGCATGGGTTACTGTTCATCCTCTTCCTCAAGAAGGCGAAGTACTTCAGCTTGTTTCGGTAAAAAGATCCAGAAACGTTCAGCAACTCGCATCTGATAAGAAAAACTTTGATTAGAATTATGTTTTTAAGACGATGGTTTTAAATTGAAACACAATTTATTTCACGTTAAAAGTGAATTCAGTGAGAAATAATAATTATTTTGTGTAACAAGAATGGTTCATTCTTATATCAATATCCGAAATTTATCTGATTTCTAAAAAGATAAAACCTATCAACTGGGTATTTACCTGACAACAACGACCCTCTGGCCATCAAGGAGCTGTTTGGCAATGACACTAGCAAGCCTTCCGATAAGGTGACCCCTGCCGTCGACGACAATGACTTTCTCGAACCCCATGGCTAGAAATCAGGTTGATTAGTTAAATCATGATTGGTAAGTATTATTGTTTTACAGAAATTGAGCATATATTTTTATATTCGTAGGTAGACTCTAGGCTCACAGAGTGCTTAAATGACTAATGGACTTTAAGTCAGAACAAGTTAAAAGGTCCAGCTGTTACAAAATATCTGAAAATATATCTTTTTCGAATTTTAGCTCATAAAAACGGTTTACAGACAACAATATGTTTATTCACAGATGATAGGGTGTTTATTCTAGATTTCTTCAGCATACTCAGTGTGAGTGTCGCAGAGCAAATTCATATCTGCAAGGTAAATCAACCAGCGAAAATCATCGCTCATATCCTCTAACCATACACATAGTTTCATTTACCAGGACCCGAATTGGCACAACCTTTGCAATTTTCTTTCCAAGTCGACCCGTCTTCATACCACTCCTTCTTCCACACAGGAGCCCTCTCCTTGATCTTATCAACAGCTTCAGACACAAAAGTTATCGCATCAGCACGATGTGGTGATGATGCAGCGACAATTATACTCGTCTCACAAACATCAACTCGGCCAGTCCTATGTGCGACGTAAACTTTTCTCACGTCATACGACTTCGCCAGCTCTAAACAGATGCGATCAATTTCTTTAATCGCCATTGCTTCGTACGCCTCGTACTCAAGATACAGCACAGTTTTATCATTAAAAGTGTCTCTGGTTGTTCCACAGAATATTGATATGCCGCCACAGGATGGTATTGTGATGTGTTCCAAGGCCTCACTTAACGTCCAGGGGAGTAGGTGTTATACGGATGAGATTGAAATTCAGCTCATCGTCTGACGGCATCTTGGGGGATCTATCTTATGTTACGGGGATATGATACCGGCAATCTGATCTGTACACAGGAAGGTGTGGAGATGTGAACAGTGAAGTAGCTGTAAAATGCCTAGTAGCTAGTCACCATCTTGTTATGTTAAAAGGTTTCAGCCATTTATGAAGCGGAAAGAAGAATGAGGTGCAACAAAATTGTTTATATTATATACGCAATCATGAGACACAGGAAATATTAACATTTTAATTCAGAAAAAATACATACAATACACAAAACGTAATTATCAATCAATTATCAATCAATTATTAATCAAATAAAGTTAGAGTATATTTCAAACCAAAAATTACAAAAAGTCTCAAAGCCCGAGAAAAAAATTAAATACATCAAGTTCGAACCATATTTAAACTCTAAAACCATTTAACAGTTAACACGTACTTTACACACCTATCCAGTCGATTGTCTACTGCAAAAAGAAAACGATAATACAAAGTCTGCTAAAACCATAATACATTTTCAATAGCTTTTTGATTTTTTTAAATCATTTCATTTACTCTATAATCTGATAGAGGGAAAATGGAAAGAAAACTGGGGATTTTTTAAACCTTTCAATCGACAGCGTTATGTTGCATTGTTCGAAGTGGTTGATAGTAAATGTCGTTACCGTTCTTATTGAAATGCCGTTTAATTATGTGCCGATAATAATAACCAACATACAAGAAGACAAAAACTACTGTAGTTAAAATAAAAAGTCTGAAGAAGGAAAAGTCTGAGTCGCTTTCAGGATTTACGACTTTAGGGACAAGGGTGGGGAAATATTTTTTGGGGCGATTATCAGCGTTATGTGATTGATCATCTTTTGGTAATTGTTCAGCTAAGGAAGGGGAGGTGACGTCGGGAATGTTTACGGTATAGAGGGTATCATCTGTATCCTTATCATCGGGTTTAGAAGTGTTCTGCTTTGTGTTACTATCAATGGAAGTATTGTTTGTGATTGCAGTATCCTGGGGGACTATTTCATGTTTGCTATCATCCTTGGGAACTGAATCACCTTCTTTCTCAGGATCTTTCTTATCCTCGGCCTCAGGCTTAGATTCAGCCTCCTTACTTGTTTCTGAATCTTGGTCATTTCCTTCATCTTTCTGTTCGGTCTCATCGGCTTTGCTTTTCTGTTCGGTCTCATCGGCTTTGCTTTTCTGGTCTTCAACTACCTCATCTGGATTATTAACAACTGTCTTCGTATCTAGAAGCTCAGCTGTGCTCTTATCTTTTGCAGTTTTGTCAGGATCTCCCTCAGTTTCTGGCTTCAAACCATCCGCATCCTGGGGGTCCAGTTTCGTGTCACCAGTCTTGGGGACAATCTGAGATTCATCGCCGATGTTCTTATCATCTTCTTGTTGCTGCTCAACTTTGTTGTCTTCTACAGGTCGTTCTGTAGGTTGTAATGACTTATCTTTAATTTTAGTGTGAGTCAAAGCAGGTACCTCGTTGTCAAGATTTGATTCAACCTCCTCGCAGTGCACTACGGAGCCTGAAGTTAGAACTAGTTTTAAATAAGCCCAAATCTGAAAGCATCGGTTTTACAGCTTACTTACACAATTAGTAATTACATTGGGGGTGATGCAACGTCAATTAATGTCAATTAATGTCAATTAATGTCAATTAATGTCAATTAATGTCAATTAATGTCAATGTCAGTTTTGCAAAATTTTGGAATACTGACATTAATTGACACGATATTTTTCGACCCAAGATTATGTAGTTCTACCATATTTTTAGCACTTAAGAACGTTTATATCATCAATTTATTCACTACTATCACATATGGAAATGTGAAATGTGAAAAAATTCAGATCATTAAACAATAAAACTAAAATAATACGGTTTTCCGAAATTTAATTTTCTTAAATGGGCGTGGCCATCCAAGGGCGTGGTTCTCAACATCATCAGAACTTAAAACCCGCATTAAACGAAATGCCTTTATGACATTTATATTTGAATAACGAATCTTAAACAGCTAACAGTACTCCTTCATACTAAAAAAGCCGATTCTAGATATTTTACCTGTATAAGAAACCAATAAAATATGGGCGTGGCCGGTGGGGACCGAAGATGGAAGAGTTGGAAGCTGAAATTTTTTTTGGTGGTCTTTGAACCTAATGATCAACAGATAAGAACATACTCATAATTATTCAAGGACATTTTATTTTTTTGAACCTGTCTAACTTAATTAGACGTGGATATCTTGAATATTTATCAAATAATGATAATCTCAAATTTCAAGACAAATTAATGTCAATTAATGTCAATTAATGTCAATTAATGTCAATTAATGTCAATTAATGTCAATTAATGTCAATGTCAGTTTGGGGTTTTTATGGAATACTGACATTAATTGACGTTGCATCACCCCCATTACATTAGACAATTTCAACGACAGTTTCGACACATATCGGGAGAAAATAAGCGCGTGGCCATTTAAACCTGCACAATAAAAAATAGAGGCTCAGTCAATTGAGATCGAGACTTACATGTTAGCAGGAAAGAGAGCAGAAGGAAAAATATAAAACTTGTCTGAACCCGTCCCACATCACCTCTTTTTCTGCCTGGAATAAATTGATAATTGAACTGAGGCACAATTAGGGTAAAACAATTCACGAAGCGATTTAAGTCTTAACATGGTAATGCAAACCAATAAAGCGAGAACCCAAAAAAAGTTCTTGGTTCTTAAAAATGAATATCATAAATTACGGGAAAATAGTTTTAAAAGTGCATAACTTACCCATCACCTCATGTCAGAGCCAACCCCAATCCCAATCAATGTTTCATCAACTACCTTAATAATTGTTGTGGTTATTGTCAAACTAGCTAAGCAACATGTTATTTTTCGTAAATGAAAGGGAGAGATGTACGTACTACGTATAAACTAAATAAGAAAGTTGATAGTTTTTAAATACGCTGCACTGAATAGTCAATCTGTTTCAATGTTTCATCTACAAGATGCATAGATCACGAATAAATCTGATGCCAGAATGAGAACTTTAGAAAGTTCTTTTTAATAAAACGAGGAATTTGATAAATAAAAATCACGATAAAATTATTCAGCTCCCAATCTTGCTCTGGCTCTGGCCTCCTTCTTCTTGCTCTTCTTCTTAGGAGCATCATCGTCCTCTTTGGCGACGACACTTTCTGTTTCAGTAAGGATCATCTCGATATGACAGGGAGAGCACATGAAGGGGTTGATTCTTCCGTGGGCTCGGTACGTTCTTCGTCGCATTTGAGGGGCTCTGTTCACTTGGATGTATTCGACAACGAGGGAATCCACTTCAAGACCCTGGTGGTTGAACAATTAGATCAGAATATGATGTGAAAGTTAAAATATTGCTCAATTATAACTCAAGTTTTCGCTGCTTTTAAGGCCATGCCTATTTGACCAAAAGTTGAGGAATAAATGGACATAGGATTGCCCCTCACCTCCCCCTCCCCCAGAGAATAAAATGAGGTTAAGAGAATTATAAAAGTAAAAAAGTTAAGACTTAATAGTTACCTTAACTTCGGCGTTAGATTCAGCATTCTTCAACAGATCAAGTACAATAGTAGCACTCTTTTTGGGCCATGCACCAAGAGATCCTGATGTGTTAAAAGCTTTGGTTTGGGCGTGACGTCCAACACCTCCCATAAACCTCCTCATTGGGATGATCTGTTTCTTTCCAACAACATCTTTAAGATATTTCTGGGCTTTTCGGAGATGCATTCCCTTGATGGCCTGAGCAACCTCACGGGAAGTTTTGAAATGTGTCCTTAGATGGAAGCCCCTGGCTTTTACCGCTGAAATGAAGAATTGTATTAATCCAATTTATAGATAGTCAATTCGCCTGCTCTCCCTTAATGCCAAATTCGAATAGATGCTGATATAATATAATTAGAGTGAATTTAGGTTTTTCAGTCGCCATCATGTAATGATTAAAAAATTTCGTACTATTACCAAACAAAAAAGATACTTACATTTGGCCGGATTCTCTGCTTCTTTGGCGTACCTCACCATCGTGAAGCTATAAACGTTAAATTATTATTACGGATTAAATATTGTGGTATAAGTAATCATTCGAATGAAGGAGCAGAAAAATTTATTTTAAATTTTATGTGGTATGGACTATGGATAATACGATTGTATGTCAAATAATCAAGAACTTAAGGGTTTTTCCAGATATAGAGCGATTCAAAGTAAACACAAATAATATCGATAAATAAAAACTAGATAAAACATTTAACTATCGGCAATCGTCACTTCAACTTCTACACCAGGTTCAATGCTGATACTGGTGATCTGTTTCACTGTTTCGCTGGGTGATTTCAGGTCGATTACTCGCTTGTGGATCTTCATCTCAAACTTATCCCAGGTCTTTGAACCTTCACCACAGGGGGTCTTTCTGGTGGTAATTTTAAGGTTTTTGTTGGGGAGACGCACTGGTCCAACAACATCAAGATCCTTGGCTTTGGCACCATGGATTAAATCAGTGCACACTTTCTCCAAGCTTTTGAGGTTCCTACTGGTTAAAGTAATTCTGATTCTGTGGCTAGCAACCTCGTCAACGGGCATGCCCTTCTCGGGCTTGTACGCAGCCATCCTGAACACAAAGGATGATTAGAAGGTGAGCATGGATCATTTGCTAATTACTTGTTAATAGTTCTCGTTACCAATCCTATATCATCTATATTTTACGAGGGATTAAAAACGACCGGTAAGTTAAAACGATAATGAAAATTTAATTATTATAGGCTACTATGAGCATTTTAGCAACAAATCGCATGATAGATCTGAAAATAAATCCCTAAAAAAGCTTGCACCAGACGCTATGATCTTATTGAGAACAACTTTGGACCAGAAGCATATCTACGTGTGATAAGAATCCCGGATATGACTTTCGAAAAAGCAGAACGGCTGCCATGTGCATGTCACAACCTTTACATTGAATAGGGCAGTATGAAACATGTTGGTGCCACAAGAAGATATGTGGTTGACTCTTTTTAAATCAAATCAATTTGATGGTGGTTTACTTACTGGTTGACTTACTGCTTTTTCAGTTGAAGGCTTAAGACCCTAGGGCGGGCCTAGATAGACGGTACCTGATGCGTCACGTAATCGACCACCTAACGCATCACATCACGTCTAGCTAGGTTTTTGCTTTGGCAAGGACCAGCACGTCATGACAAGTTTAATGAGATCAATTAGATTTCAGTCATGGCCAGTTTTAATGAGATCCAATGATTCCTTCATAGCTCGTCATTGACAGGGTGAGCATTAATAATATGATGATGAAAATCTTTTAAAATAACTGGCTACAATGAGCATGTTATTAACAATAAATAGTAGGGATCAAAAACTTTAATTTTTAACAGAAAATTTATAGAAACACACAAAAAATTCTACCCTGCTAAAAAGCTATTAAAACATTAATAGTTTCGTATAAAATTTAAGATCTTTAAAACAATTAAGCTACACTTAAAAATACTATTAAAAATGTTTAAGAAACAAAATATTTGACTTTACCAGTCTCTTGACGTTTCAAAATGAAACTAAGGTGGAAATGCAGTTACATACAGGACACTGGTTCTTAATCATTACTGAAAGAAACTATTTCGAAATGTTAGTTCTAGACACTTTACAAATGCTTTTCTGTGAACTAAAGGGGGGCATGACAGGTCTCCAATGTCTCTTGTCTTTTTTTAAAAGATAGGGTGCGGAGACATGTCCTGGAGACATTGGAGACACAGCTTTTGGAGACATTGGAGACATTGGGTCATTGGAGACACAGCTTTTGGAGACATTGGGGAAATTAGGGACCTAAAATGGAGACATTGGACACAGCTTTTGGAGACATTGCGTTGGGAACATTGGGGACATAAAATGGATAGTAGGGGCACTGGGGATATTTTGAAGTTTGTGTCTCCAGTAATCAACGTATCCCTTCTATTCATTTTCACCAAGTTTTGTAGAAATTTAGAACAATGGAGACAAATTGCTCTATACTAACAGTATAAAATAATACGTGCGTGCGCGGCTTGAGCCGCGCCGCATAAGAACGGATGCGTGCAGGGGCTGGAGTACGCTTGTATGTAGATTAATGAAATGTTGCATTGTAAATATTGAGAATTGACGATATATTATGATCTAATAGTAAATTTTACAAAGCTGGCTTTGGATTTAGGTAAGATTATAATTTGTAATTTATTTTTAAAAACCACGGATAGTTTTAAATTTATTTCTATTTGTCGTATAATCATGAATCATGAACAATTTAATCCTGTTTTCAAGAATGCGCGGCTTTGGCGGCCAGTTATTGACTTATACATTAAATTGAATTTTAAATAGAAATGTGAACATATTAAAATTTAAAACTTTCAAAACGGAGGCTTATAAATATTATTATATTATGATTGTAAAATAAAGGATAAAATTTTAAATTTGTTTCACTAAAATTTGTTTCACTAACTAGTAGGGATCACACAGACAGACAAGAATCTTTTAGTTCTTGATTCCTTGAAGGAATCAAGAACTAAAAGATTCCCAATGTCTCCAAAAACTGTGTCTCCAATGTCTCCAATGCCCCTAATATCCATTCTATGTCCCTAATGTCCCCAATGTCTCCAATGTCTCCAAAGGCTGTGTCTCCGATGTCCCCAATGTCCCCAATGTCTCCAAAAGCTGTGTCTCCAATGTCTCCAATGTATTTGTCTTTTTCGAAAAGATAAGGTGCGGGAGACATTGGAGACGTGTCATCCCCCCACTTAAGAGATCACATCGAAAAACTATTCCCCTGATATTACAACAATATCTGAATTAAAGATGTTTCTTGTCAAGTAAACACAGTCCAATATCACTTGACTATACCTCAATATGTTTGTTCGTCCATACTTGTACTATAAGTAACATAATTAGCAAAATATATAAAGCTATATAATAAATCTCGTTTTCTAAGAATAAGAAAACTTCATCTTTTTGACAGATTAATCTTAAGCGTAAAGTTAAGATTTAGTCCCTGGCTTTCGACAATTTCAACACAGACACTTGCACTTATATAATACATAGTCTCTGGAACAGTTCAGTATGATAGAGGCCTGCTCAGCTGCTCAGTCGACAATGGACAATCCACTATTTCTACAGGGTGGGCCAAAAGTCAGTGTGCAAACGTTGGCCTTAATAGCTCAGTCACTGAGTGCCCAATTGAAATAATTTGTTCTGGTATGACTTACTACCACCACTGGTTCGAGAAATTTGTCAAATCGAAACATATTTGTGTTCATTTTTTTCAAAAGAAGGTTCATTTTCGCATTTATTTGATAGTTTGGATAGTCGGATCGAGCCAAATTTTATTGAATTGTGTTTGAACATTTAAATTACGTTTGCCCTGAAAAAATGAGAGTTCTAGCTTCTCAGATGACCGAGATATGAACCTTAACGAGGTTATTCATTACGTGTGATCAGGTGATTGGTTTACCTAATCACGTGATTAAGTGACCCCGTTAACCACCCCGTTAAACATTATGGGAATCGTGAAGGCTGCCCAATTAAGGTGTCGTGTCGCGGTGTCACATAATCACCCAGTCAATTTTGTTAACGAGATACAGAAAATGCTTGATAACTTCGTCATTTCTAATCCGTTTTGCTTCATATTTTCAGATCATATGCAACATTTAATAATCTACCGGTTCTGAAAAAATTAGACATCTAGAAAAATATTCGAATTTCACATTTTGGTGACGGAATCCTCGAACCAGTAGGTACAGTAAACCATCTGCAAAGCAACAACCCTCAAATATAAAACACGGCGGAGGTTTAAGACCCAACGTTTGCACACTGACTTTTGGCCCACCCTGTATAAGAAAATTTTTAGAAACACACCTAACATATTCTACCTTGCTAAAAAGCTATTAAAAACATCAATAGTTTCGTATAAAATGTAAGATCTAAACAATTACTACCCTTCAAATACTATTAAAAATGTTCAGCAACATCATGTCGAAATTCGTGGGAAAATGTTTCAGAATAAGTCCTTTGTGAATGCAATGGGTTGGTAGTCTGTTCAACTTTCAAGCTACAATATAGATAAGTAGTTGATCTCATAAAAGCACAAGCACATAAAAAAATGGGAAAAGAACTAGTGTAGGCACAGTCATTCGGGTGGACTGATCGATTCAAAAATGTTACTGTATAACAACGACAGCCAGTCAGATTAAATCACAGTTCTGATAATGAGGAAATCAGAAAGAATGTTTAAAACTAGTGATGATGTTTATGTCATAATTCTAAATTGATCTAAATCTAAAATCTTAACATCGATTTGAAACTCCGTCAAGATTGGACACAGGAGTTGAGTCAAGAAGTAGCAAACACATAAACTTAGATAGATTATCTTTGAAGCTTGGTTTAATGAAGTATTTCTATAAGGTGTATTTTAAAGCGATTTAAAATAAGTCCGAATCACCGTTCTGCGTTCTAAAATCAAAAATACATCGATTAAAGTTGGTTTAAACTGTCTGGGAGCCCTTTCTAAAAATCTTAAGTTGTGTGTAGTCGTATAACATTTGCCTGCAATTAGCGAGATCAGATATCAGCTGTTGTAACTTGCGATAAAAAGTGCTCGCCTTCTAGAGTGGTCGTTGTGTAGCCTGTATACAAGAACTGTAAATTGAAACATACACGATGCAGCACTTAAACCATGATCATGAACATACGAAGTATTTGGTCGATGACTCCGATAATGAATATTTGTTTAATACCAGGCATGCAGATCAGGTAGCGAGAGCTACAAACATTGTTTTAATGAAATGTGCCACGAATTGGATTTTTGAAATACGGAGATCCTGTATCAAAAACCTGACAAGCGATCGGTTTCGAAAACAACAATGTGATTGGCTGAAATAAACTGTTTATTTCATTCTGAATGATTATTCAGCTCCTCATTTGAAAATAGCTGCAGAGAGAGTAGATAAACACAAAACAAAACATTCATTAATCGCGGAGCAGAATACTATCATTGATTTTTTTAAAA